TTCTGGGTTCCTGTCTCATAGAGTATTGTTTTCTATCCATTGACTTTCAGCCTATGTACTTTGTTTTGAATTAAATGTGTTTCTTGTATGCAGCATATTGTTGGATCTTCCTTCTTGATCCATTTTGCCCCTCTGTGTCTTTTGATTGGTGAATTGAGACCATTAACATTGATGTTTATAACTGACATGTATTGACTTATACTTGTAATGTTATTTTCGTGTTGTTGGCTCCCCCTCTTTTTCCCTCTGTCTGTTCAATTCTATGCCTTGCCTGGTAGATTCTTTTAGTTGGGGGTTCATAGAATTGTAGTCCTTGTTACCTCTTTCTAGAAAGTCCTTCAAAACATTTTGGAGTGCTGGTTTGGTGTTCATAAATTTCCTCAGATGTTCTTTGTCATGGAAATATTCTCTTTCTCCATCAGTTTTGAAAGATAGTTTTGTGGGGTACATTAATCTGGGTTGAAGATTGTTTTCCTTTAGAACTTGAAATCCTTCACTCCAAGCTGTCCTTGACTTAAGAGTTTGTGCTGAGAAGTCAGGTGTGATACATTGAGTAATGTTCAAATCATGGTAAGCCTGTCTTCTTAAGCATTTATCATTTCCTTTTGGTGAAGCATTCAAAATCCTTCCCTCTAACTTTTACGAAATTTATAGTACCTTACATTATCTGTAGTCACTCTGCTGTGCAACAGAACACCAGAACTTATTTCTTTATTTAACTGTAATTTAGTACCCATTAATCAAACGTTCCCTACCCCTCTTTCCCCTACTTTCTCCAACCTCTGATAGCACCATTCTAAGATCAACATTTTTATAGTCCATATATGAGTGAGATCATGAGTGTTTATTTTTTGTGCCTGGCTTTCACTTAACATAATGATCCATCCATGCTGTCACAAATGCAAAAAATTTATCATGTTTAGTGGCTAAATAGTATTTCACTGTGTAAGAAGGATGTGTTTTTAATGGTAGACCATGGAAGATCAACGTAGGTATTTGGACTACTTGTTTATATCCTTTCTGAGACATACACTTTTATTAAGTTTACATCAAAAGTCTAGCAAATCCTTAACAACTGATGGACATGAAAGTTAGATATCACAGCCAGTATTTGGTTCATGCCTCTAATCCCACCACTCAGGAGGCTAAGGCAAGAGAATTTCTGCAAGTTCTGGCCCAACTTGGGCTATATAGTGAGTTCAAGGCCAGCCTGAACTACATAGTGAGACCCTGCCCAAAACAAAACAAAAGTTAAATATCTTAGCTTTTGTGAGATTTTTGATACTTTCAGTAGTTACCAGAATCACCTTTTTAAAGGATGGATTTAAAATCTTGAAATTGTAAGAAAAGAAATTAACCACGAGTTTGTGAATACCAAATGAGTCATAACATTCATAGGATCATAGGATTATGACTTAATCACAAGTGGCCAAAGTATCCCTGTTTCCCAGAGGATTCAGTATAAAGTATTGAGTAGTTCCTGATCCCATTTAAAAACTGGGATCAAAGGGCCAGACGTGGTGGCGCACACCTGTAATCCCAGCACTCAGGAGGCTGAGGCATGAACATCGTTGTGAGTTCAGGACCAGCCTGGGCTACAAAGTGAGCTCAAGGCCAGCCTGAACTGCATAGCGAGACCCTGTCTCAAAAAAAAAAAATTGATCAAAGGATAGGAGGAGAAAGGAAAGGGGGCTATAAAGGAGAGTAATACATGTATTAAAATACCCACTGTGAAAGCCAATGTTTTATAAAATTAATATACACTGATAAAAAAGAAAAAAAAATCAGTCAAAGAAATGTTGGGCTAAACAGTTTCTCAATACAGTATATGGTACCATGACCAGCAACAACAGCCAGGAAGGTGTAGAATTGCAAATTCTCAGGCTCTATCCCAGCCCTACTGATTTAGAAACTCAGGGGCTACAGCTCAGTACTCTGCATTTTCACAAACCCTCCAAGGAATTGTAATGCATATTAAAAACTGAGAACAATTGGGCTAGACTAAAATGCCCAATGTAGCCTGTATCTGTACAAGCAGGAGAACTGTGATCTATTTTGGTTCACTTTTTAAAAACTAAGCTTATTGGTAAGGAGCTAGAATTTTTTTGAAAAGAAATTTTTAGACATTTTCAGCTGAAATGTTGGACTTAACTCACCTAGACTAGGTGTCTCCGATTGATATCCCTTCAAGAAAGAGTGAAAGGAAAATGTGGTGCTTCCCTTGGTACAGGTACAGAGCCCTCTCACATGCTCTAGCCTTGTAGTAGCAAAACCCTTAAAGCGTAAAGGGCAGGAAGAGTTTTGGCTTCATACAGAAAGGAGATACAGCATGGAGGTTAAGGAAGGCAGGCTCTGCAGGCAGACCTTCCTGGATTCAATTTCTGACTCTGCTGCTTTCTAACTACATCATCTTGGATGAATGTCTTACCTTTTCTGGGTCTATCTAATCATCTATAAAATGTGGGTCAGCGTGGTCCTTAACCTGTGTGATTGCAGTAAAAATATAGAGTGTAGGGCCTAGTACACAAACATCACTCAGTAAATGACGGCTATCATCATTTTTACCTTTAGGAAAATACACAATGCAGTGTGCTGGCAAACTGAATGAAGCAGAAGCACAAATAATCTCCAATTACGTTGTTTGTGGAGGTTTTTATTTGGGGGAGGAGCATTTCTTCTACCAATTTCAATGATAAGATTTTTTTTTTTAATGAGGTTAAACATACAGTTGCTGTGTGGGTTAGCAATCTGGATAAATACCAAAAAGAATTGAAAGAAAAGGTGCAACAGATATGTGTACACCCTGTTCACAGCAGCACTATTCATGTCGCCAAAGATAGAAACAACCCAAGTGTTCATCACAAAATGAGTCCTTAAAAAAAAAAAAAAAAAAATGAGTCCTTAGCCAAATGTGGTGCATACATGTAATGGAATATTATTCAGCCTCAAAAAGGAATGAAGTTTGCTATATGCCGCAAAACGTTGATCATTGAAAACGTCAATGGGAAGTAAAATAAGCCAGACACAAGGGGACATTTGCTTATATGAGTGGCAAATTCCTCGATACAGAAAGTAAAATAAAGGTTCTCAGAGACTGAGAGGAGAGGAATGGGAAGTTACTGTTTAATAGCTGCAGAGTCTCAGTTTGGGACAATGAAAATATTCTGGAAAGGTGGTAGTGATGGCTGCAACAACAATATGAATGTACCTAATGCTGCTGAGCTATGTGCCTAAAAATGGTTAAAATGGTAAGTTTTATATTACGGACATTTTACTACAATCTTAAAAAAGTGTCTAACCAATAAAGGTGATCAAAAGTGCTCTAGGTTTAACTGAAAATTTTTATTTGAATGTTGGACTTGGAAATTTTTGTTTTAAAGCAACGCCACTACCCTTGTTTTCAAATGATATGAACTACTATAGCATAAAAGCTTTAGGACTCTGAAGTAAAAACAGATATGGAATACCACATCTTGTATTAGTGATTAACAGCTCCCCCCGCAAAAAAAACCCCACTTGAAAAAACAAAAGTTCCCATTTCGCTTGGTATAGTGACACCCTCTAAAAAAAATTTACCTCCCAGCATTAATGGAACTCATCTATTAACATGGCTTTTGGGCATTGGTAAGTAAAACAAAATACTCTGAACCCTTGGTCTTTATTAACTTCTGCTAATCTCAGTAAGTTATGTAATTGTATAGGTCACATTTATTAATACAGTATCATGCGTGAAGTCATAAGCCAGAAGTTGCTCTTCGATCTTGGTTCTCCGGAGATAGTTATTAACTTTGTTATTATTTATTTCTTGAGTAAGGGTTGTAAGTTTATAATCTCACATCAACCGAATGCAAATCAGACACTTTAATTAAGCTGAACCCTTACTAGATTGGTGGGCCCTACAGTGAGTCTTATTTCTCTGAAAGCGCCAGCCTGCCCCATCATGATAACTTCATCTCCCACTCTGTGCGCCACAACCCAGCACCCTGCTGCATCTTTGGCCTTCAGCTTATTTTTGCTCAACTGAGCCAAACAAATGGATGAGTTAATAGCATCATAATTTGGAATTCCTCTGTAATTGTTCAGGGAAATGCTTTCACTATGAAATTAGTTCCTAGAAGAGCCTGAGACCTGGCCATAGAATTGCCAGGTGCCTGTCACCCTGTGTGCAGGGAAGCCTTCACATTCAAATAGGATCGAAGAAAGAAATGTCTTCGGAAGCTGAGGTATGGCTGAAATTCCGCCAAACTGAGAGGAAACATCAGGATGAAGATTGGACTTTCGCACTCTGAGATGCCATTTCCCAAAGTACAGACACTTGCAGTGTCAAGGGTTTCCCGTCTTCTTCCCAGTGGGACTTTATATGAGTTATCTTCTGGTGTTTCAGCTAAGTGAAGTCTGGCCACGGTCTTGTATGCCTGCATGTACCTTTAAAAATCAAAGACAAACCTCACAACCTAAAATGCTCCGTCTCTCTTCCTCCGCACTCCCCGCCCACACACCAACAGACATCAGCCGTGGATTTCCTCAGCCCAGTGCACTAGATGCCTCTTTTATTGCATGTTGTGGCAGGAGAGGAGGATTAAATTACTGAGGCTGTCAGAAAGGACAAGCACTCTGCCATACATTATCATTATCACTCACTTCTCGGGCAAAAGAAAACGCAGTAAATCCCTCAAATACAAGGCAATAAAGACCAGTGGCTTTTACTGTCATGACTGCCAGTGCCATTAACAGGCAGTGACAGTGATGTGGCACTCTTAGATGTTGCCTGTATCTTTTCTGACAGTGTGCATATAAACCTGCCAGTGACATGACATTAGATCACATGACTGTTCAGATTTGATTCTGGTTCCTGGAGCTGTTTTCTTTTCCCAGGCATACAAGCAAGGTGGCATGACTTGTGTCTTTAAAACAGGTATGTGTAAAAATACAGAATGGCCCTAACGTAGCATATTCCTGAGTGACTTCCTTCTGTGGATTTTTTTTTCCTCCTGGTATAGTGATCGACGTGGATAAAGAAAACAACCAAGAAAAGAGAGATGTCTTAAAAGCTATACTGCAGAAACAGGAAATGCCTAACAGAAGGTACATTTAAGCAGTAGAAATGATTTAACAGTATATATAAGTAGGTATCTGCGGCATGGTATGGTTTAGAAAAAGGAAGAGGTCGCAAGATGAGGAATCAGAACATCTGAGTTCTCAGACTCACTGTCTGTCCTTGAATGAATTTGTGACGTCGATGGGTCCTCCCTCCCCCTTCACCCCAAGGAACATAGTGGTCCCACCTACCATACCAGCTAAGTGTGATAATCCTGTAGTACTGGGAAGACCGAAAAACTGCAGTGTATAGAAAGTGTCCCTGTGCCAAATGTAGCAACAAAGAATAAAACAGGTTGAAAGGTAGAGTCACACGCTTGGGTATTAATTCTTGTTCCATCACCTACTGACTGTCTGACCACGGACAAATTGTGTAACCTCCCTGTGCTTAATTTTCTTCATCTGTAAAGTGGAGGTGACAATACTGTGTGGGGCTATTATGAGGACTAAATTAGGTAATATGTATAGCACAGATAGAATAGCGCCTGGCACATACCAAGTTCGTGGCAGTCACTGAAGTAGTGATACTTGGAGTGGCCTGTTGCCCTTGTAGAGTAACTCACTCTCACTGTCTAATGACTCATTTCATATTATTTTTGAGTGCATTTTCTTCAAAACTTGAATAGGACATTTTGCAATTCTGGCTCAGGAGAGAAAAATCTTTCCAGAGGGGGGAAAAATGATCTTAAGAAATTAGTGCTTCTGTGTGAGCCTGAGCACGTCAGCCTGAGCTGAGTTCTCCAGTGCCTACCTGCTGCTCTCCAGCCTTGGCCGGGTAGATGTTTCTCTCTCCACTGTCCTGTCCTTGCCTTTGTGAACTACGGACAGCACAGCCTCTCGCTGACTTCAGAGTGGAGCTCTCCTTGCCACCTCACAAGAGTTCAAGCTCCTTTCTTGTAAGAGGCCATGAAAGTGTTTCAGAGTTGCTCCCAAACATGCATTTTCTCTTTTTTTTCAAGAAGCCTGCAATGCTTAGCTCTTGGGATCTGAGAGTAGCTTTTTATCAGCTCCTTGAAATACACATCATTTCTTTAGATCTCTGTTTTTGCTTCAGAAAAGGTACAAAAACCCTACTATTAAACCTTGGGTTCTGCCTTCCCAGGGTGGTAATCACTCAAGCTCTACTTATGTACCTCGTATTGTTCAGCTTCCTTCATGGCCTCCTCACAGTTACCCCAAGTAGTCACTAGCAAGTGAACCACACGGGCTGTGGAGCTGGCTCCCGCAACAAGCATTCAGGTCACCACCGTCCAGGACGAGCTCTGGCTCCGTGCGCAAGTCCTGGGCTGGAACTTAGCAGTCTTTTTCTCTGCCTCTGTGTGCTCTTCATTTCTGAGATGGTAGAACATATATCTAACACTTCTCCTTGGAAGAAAACAATTTTGTTTTCTCAAGTGTTTTTTTTTCCCATTAAAATCCAGATTCTGCTTTCCTTTTAGAGCTACCTTTCCTCAGAAGATACATACATTTGTACAGAATAGGTAAAAAATTTAAAAAGAAAAAAATTCACAGTAACTATTATGGCTCCTATACTGCCATCATTGTTCCTCAGAAATGTCCAAACACCACACAGAGACACAAATCTCGTATCAGTTTTTAGGAAAACCGCAGGTGTGAAGTGACTGACCTGGAGCCAGGACTGTTGAGTGTGGCCCTCTGTGGGAGAGGGTTACTGCCTGTCCTGAGGGAAGAGGAGAGTTTCACTTACACTTTCCATAGGCAAGGCCAGCTTTTATTTCAGCAGATGTTCTCACCTTTTTAAAGTCCTCACACATTTTATTCCTTCACATTACTTAAAGTAGCTCCTCGTTTCTGAGATTTTTTTTTTTTTTTTTTGACATAGTTCTCACTATGTAGCTCAGGCTGGCGTCGAACTCACAGCAGTCCTCCTGCCTCAGCCTCCCAAGTGCTAGGATTACAGGCATGCATCTCAAACAGCAACCCTGTTCAGTAGTGGCATATAAGCCACAATTACAGAAGTCTGGCCAATCTTGACCTTGACAAGTCTAAAGTTATGCACACTGCCTAACGAATTATTTATAGTCCCTATGTATTTTGCCCCATGACGCATTTGGAAATGTACAAGTGTCACTTTCAAAGGGAGGTAACACTTTGAAATGGGACTTTAAAAATTACCTTAAAGTATAGTTTCCACACAGACTCGGAGCTTCTTTCTTTCTCCCTCTGCTTAGCAGTGTTCTAGCGAGTAGATCTATCCCTGAGGAAGACAGAGCCCTATAAGAACAAGTAAACCATTACATATTGCAATAATTAGTAACAGAAAATTAAACAACTTAAATGCTCAAAAAAACCCAGCAAATCTGAGGAGGTAACATTTAGCTGATTTATGAGAGAACCCAATCAAGTCCCAGGAGCCCAGGGAAAGTCGTTCCAGGCAGAGGGAGTTTCCCACGCGAAGGAACACCAAGTCAGTATTCTAGGCCGGGCCAGGAGGGTCACGAGTTTGGTCCCAGAGAAGTGGATCAGAGGAGGAGAGGAGGAAAGAGGGGGCAGGAGCAGGTCAGGAGCCTGCGGCACCTGCGCAGATGTCCATCCAGGCCCTGAGACCAGACCATACACTCTCCAGGTCGTGGGGCAAGTTTCAGCTCCCGTTCTGGCAGGGTTGAAGGTAAGGAGGCTGGGTTTGTGTCTGCGTGCGTGGATGCAGTTTGGCCTTGTCCAAAGTGATTTTTGTTTTTATTCTAGTGACTTTTCCCTTTTTGAGCTTAACTACAGTTTAGTACATGTATTTTTGATATCTCATTTTGCTGTCTGCAAAATTTAAAGCCAGAAATACTACCTTTTTATATTTCTAGCCCTGTCTCTGGGACTTAGAAGATTTTTCTTCTTCTCATTTGGTCTTAGCATTGTCTCCTTCATTCAATGGAGACAATAGCCTGTGTTTCTAAAGGGACGAGGCTCTGATCCTTAAATATGAGATAAAAATATGTAAAAATATAAAAAGATACATGAAATTACACATCACTTTTACACTCTGGTAGCCTTGTAGTTTTCTTTAGCACTGATGTTGTAAAAACATGGGTCCCATATCACTTCTGCTTCCTCTTCTTCCAAGTGCATTCATCTAGGATAACTTCTTCCATCAGCACTTTGTCTGCTTGAGTGATGCAGTCAATGTATAATTTGCAAATCTAAGTTTTCCATGGAAACAAACTTTCCCATGACAACTTTTTTTCTCCCTTGAAGCTGCTCTGCCTGGATTCAACCTAGTGGTAAAAGATCAGACATTTCCTTAGTGCTTATATTCTTCTTACTGCTTGCTTGTATCATCTTATCTGACCCTTACAAGAGCCCTCCGAAATGGGTATAATTATCCCCATTGCTTAGATAAAGAAACTGATATCAGAGAGGTTAAGTAATGTGTCCCAGCTCACACAGCTAATCGGGTAGAAAAGCAGGAATGCAGACCACCACGAATGGATGCCCTAAACCACTCCATCTTAATCCCTTTATCTTATACACCCTATAAAGTATGCATTTTGTCCATGAAGGCCAGGATTTACTCTTCGTAACTATTGTGTAAGTATTAATTTTGATTTTGACTTAAGGGATTTCTATTTTCTAATCAAAACTTATTGCTAGCTAAAAACAGGGACTTGGTAAAGGAATGAATTGCTGAATGTTTATTTTCAACGAATTGGTTAAAAACATTGTCATGTTTACCTATAAATATTTGGAAAGGATTTTATTTATATTTTTCAAGGCATGATTTCCCAGAGACTTAAATTTTTATGTTTCTTGTTTTGTTTCTGATTTGGGGTAGATACATTCTGAAAAGTTTAACATGCTAGAGTTTACAAGCATTCGTGGTTTAAGCTGTGCTGCCAAGACATATCAGAGGAGTACTTAACTGTAAATTCCTGTCATTTGGTCAATCCAAGTGTGTTTGGCCTCAGCACAAGCCACTAATTCAAATCAGTTCCATCAGAACGCTATAATTACGTGTCTAAAAGTAAAATAAAACTTGGACTCTATGATTGTAAGTTAAAAGATTGCTGAAGTAATACAAACATTTGATACAGCTATTGGGCAGAGCTATAGCATTTATCTAACATGACTCAGAATGTTGCCCAAGGAGCCTGATCTCTACATTTTGTAGAACACATACAGTTGATTAAATTGCCTATCCCACCTCCAGAGCTATACATTGCTAAAGGAAATACAATGCTAAAGGAAATGATGCTTTCTATAGAAACTGCTGACCACATAACCTGCGTGACCTTTATTCACTTGGCACTTTCAGTCTGGAAAGTGGAGGTGTTAGACTGTCATTAGGTGTGTCGTAACTGAGCAAACTTCTGGTCATTCTCCTGACCTCATCATTTTCTTAGATTGTAGAGGAAAAGCCAGTAGTCAGTGCATGGGAAAGTGGGTTAACTTTACCTGAAGGTTGAGCGTGCTCTAATAGTTCTAACAGTTCGTGTAAGGACTTGTCTAAACTACTGTAACTTGCTTATGTCACATTCATACACAGTGATAAAACCCATGTGGGAGTTTTGTTTTGTGGCGATCTCCTCTCCTTTGTGATGCTCTGCTCTGTCCTTGCGCCTTCTCAGTGTTCGCTTCACTGTGGTCAGTGACCCTGCAGAAGATGAGCAAGAGCTGGAGTGCGAGGACATCGGCATTGCCCATGTCAACCTCACAGACTTGTTTTGGGAAGGGAGAGACATCATCGAGCAAAATATCGATGGTATGTGTGGAAGTGTTGCTCAATTTGTACAACCAACAATTGCTAAAGTCGTAACTCTTTATTAAAACCTTCTCTTCGCTGGCCCCAAGGGAGTTGAGTCACACATCAGTGGAATCCTTCGCAGTTCCAGTGGACTTCTGTTGAAGCTGGAAGCCTCTCCCCCAATCCCTCCCCTGTCCTCTCCCTCTGCCTTCCTTTGAACTGATAGAAATTTTAAAATAATTAATAGAGCTTCACAAGGAATTATGCATTTTTTAGTATTAGTAGGGGGTAGAAATTTTTCTTCAGATGTTGTTTATGAAAGCCTCATTTCAGCGCAGGCACTTAGCCGTAAGAATGTTATGCTGTTTATGTTTGTAGAAGGCTCATTTCAGCAAACACTGAGCCTTCAGCATGTTATTCTGAGAGATTATTGTGGTGCCTTTTGCATGGTTTCTTGTGAATTCATTGCTACAATACAGTGATGTAGCCCCTCAAGTGACAGGGTAGCTCGGATCTCACGTTTCCCACCAGCAGGAGGGGATTTCGTCAGGAGTAGAGGATTCCTGACAAAATGCATTTTCCTAATTTGTATTTCACCAGGTGCAATTCCAAGTAATGTTTAATTTCTACATTCTGTCCCTGTATAGCATATTTAGAACATGCTGGAAGAATTATATTTTCTGAATCAGACTTTTTACAATCATAATCAGAAGAAGACCTGGGCTATATACATAAAATGGAGGACATAGCTATTTCCAATCTCATCTGTTAAATTAGCAGAGCCATCTGTGGTTTATTTACTTATTCACTCATGCATTCAACAAACACTTCATTGAACATCTCTTAAGTGTCATACTTTACTTAAATTCTTACATTCTGCTTATACTAGATCTGTGTCAAATGCTCAAAAGTTTTTGTTTTTTTTTTTTTTTTTTTTGTTTTTTTTTGAAACAGGGTCTCACTATGCAGTTCAGGCTGGCCTTGAGCTCACTTTGTAGCCCAGGCTGGTCTCAAACTGGTCTCAAACTTGCAACGGTCTTCCTGCCTCAGCCTCCCTAATGCTGGGGTTACAGGTGTGCGCCACCACGCCCAGCTGTTTTATATTCTTGATCTGGTTTTTCTTTCCCCCTTCAGTTCTGGTTAGCAACCAGTCTTCTTGTTTTCCCATGAGACCACAAGTGACCGAACCAGCTAACATAGACAGCTATTATGGCTGGGAATTATATTTTGGAAATGAGTCCAAAGATTCAGCGCTGATCATGGCAGAATGTGAATTCTTTATTAGCTGGCACTTAGAAGGAAACAGTCCCTAAGGAAAGGTAAAAACTCAGAGGAATGGGCTGGGCATCGTTTTGCCATTTTGCTTTTCCCATTACTCATTCCTCTACCTAGGTTTTTGTATACCAAGTTTTGTTTGATGGCACCCTTATAAATTTGCATTTAAAGACCCGGCATGGTGGTGCACACCTGTAATCCCAGCACTTGGGAGGCTGAGCAGGAGGATTGTTGCGAGTTCAAGACCAGCCTCAGCTACAAAGTGAGCTCAAAGCCAGCCTGAACTGCATAGCGAGACCCTGTCTCAAAAAGACAAAAAATAAAAAATAAATTTTTTTTTTTTTAAATTTGCAGTTAAAACACACAGACCTGGGTGCAGTGGCCTATACCTTTAATTATTCAGGAAGCTGAGGTAAAATTTCTTAAACCCAAGAATCTGAGGCCAGCCTGGACATCAGAGTGAGACCCCTTCTCTTTGAACACTTGCACACAAGCATACATATTATTTAAGTTCAAGGAAAACCACAAATAATAGAAACAGGAAACTACAAAGACTCTTAGAAAGTATCAGACTTGCAGAGTCCAGGATGCTGGTCTTGAGTCACTAGCAAGTATCTCTGTCCACAGAGGGCTGGCGTCTCAGCTGTGGAGTGGGCCTGCTGCTCAGGCAGCCTTGGAGAGGACCCTGGGCTTCAGTCAAATCGTGGGAGACCATTCTCCCAAGAGAACTCCATACACACTCCGAAAGTTCAAGGACCTTCAAAGCCAATCTGTAGTCTTTAAGATTCCCACATGTGCCATTTTAACCCTTTCTAATTTCACATATAATCTTTAAATGGAATATTTTATTTAGAAAGATAAATAACCCAAATTATGATGTTGTAAGGTCTTTACAGTGATTTGTGTTTAGAAATTTGTTTTTAAACTTTTTATGTCTTGCTAGGTTCGAAATTCAGATTCTTACAGGAATCATTATCCTGTCATCTTCTCACCAGGTAAACTTCAGAATTAGATCACTAGTTTCCGCACCATAAACAACCACATGTGCAATGTATCTAAAACATACAACTTCATGTGCATATGACAAGGTTTACTTTTTGAATCTCTGAGATGCCAGTAGATTTAGGGGCTTTTCCAGAGCTGTTTTTATCTTTTCAACTACTATTTCAGCTAGCCTATGTCAAGAAACATGAGATGACCAGTACTAACACCTGTCATGATATTTTCTCCCTAGTTTTTGATGCACGAGCGACTGGTGAAAGTATCGGCAAGCTCAGGGTAACGGTGGAAGCTCTCCATGCCCTGCAGTCTGTTTACGAGCAGTACAGAGAGGACCTGGAGGCTTGAAGGAAACTGCTTCAGAGGCATCTCCTATGGTACTTCTGAGTAAATGCACACAAGAAAGCTCCTCCATGAGAGCGTGTGTAATTACTCTGGTGTATATAATCTATAATTCATGGGGAGCTGGGAGGGGGAGACCTGCGTTTGAAATGGCAAGTTTTGTATAGTTTTTCATTTGTTTATTTTTCTATTCCCTCCTTCCCATGACTGCTATCCCTCGGGCTTCAAGCTCCCACAATGAGCAATACCTTCTCAATAATTTATACCTACATGGTAGCATGAGAAAGCCTATTTGCATTTTCAGCGTTTTCTTATGAAGAACTGAAGTGCAATTCCCATTTTTATTTTTAATAAGGAAAAGGATAAATCTTAGAAAACCTATGAAAAAGAAATACTTTTATGTTATCCTTAATCGTCCCACTAAATGGAATCGTTATGATTAGCCTCATTAAGAGTTTTATACTGTGAAGATTTTATTAGAAGCAATATATGAAAATTACTTGGATTAATGTGTTAATCTTCCTCTTTAAAATGCTAATATCCATTTTATGCACATTAAAGCTCAGTATGCATTTTCTTTGATGCATGCAGTTTCTATCAATTAAATATAAAGAAGAAGACTTGGCACCAACTTATTAAATTGCTGCAAGTTTTTTGGTTTTCTTAAAAATTATAAAACTTGTTTGTATTTTCATGTATTTGTAATGGCAATAGGGGACCCTGGAATGTGTGTGTATAAAGAGGGGATAGATAGATGGTTAGAAGTGAAAGTTACACTTTGGAAACTTAGCCTAGGACATAAAAAAAATTATGACTCAAATTCTGATATGCTTAGTTAGACCTGAAAGGAGTATCTTTTTTATCATTTTTTAAAAATTTACATCAAGCTTATACAATGCTAGGGTGTATCTGGATAACCAGATCCTCAAAAAGCAGCTGAGAAAGTTAATTTTCTAGCTTTTACCCAATCTCACTGAAGGATTTAATTGATATTTTTAATGGAGCTGTGAATCAATGCTGCAAAGGAATTGTCTCTAGAGGTCTAGGATATAATGCATTTCATTTTTTAATTTACTTTTTTATTTGTCATTTTCTTCAAAGGATTTTTATAGGCTGTGGGTTTTCACTGTTTGCAAACAGGCTATGTTCCTTCTTAAGCATATGTAAAGTATTCAGGGAGATAAGTAATTTATTAAAATCTACCTAATTTGCCGTGATATATTAAATCTCTGCTTCAGTGATCACAGACCATTTCATTTAGAGAATTAGGCATTCCCTCTTTGTGTGATTAAAGCTCTGGAAAATGAGTTCTTTGCTCCTATTTGTGAACATTCAAAGCCTGCTAATGGCAAGAAGATGGAATAGATTATGAGACAATTCATTACAGTTCAACAGAAAAAAAAAAGCAGCTATAATGCAAAAATGCAAGTATGAATATCTGCATATAGTTTAAACCATCTGTGCTCTAATGGCTTCAATAATGACTCTCGTCTTTTGGAGGCTTTGAAATGACATCCGTACAATATTAATTTGTTGATGTACATTGCGGGACCAATAGAGTATGATCTGACCGCAGAAATCTATAAATTCTGCCTGTACTGTTGGGCCTTCCTGTCCTGGGGCCTGCCATTGCAAGGAGAACCTTGCTCTCATCAAACTCTGCAACTTTTCATAACAACTCATTCCTCTGGAACCTTGTAGAGACCACAAACATCTGCAGACAAAACCTCTCCAATCCTAGTAAACAACCACATGTTTGTTGTCACTTCAGCTGGCTCTGAGCTCATCTTTTTGGCCTCTCTTTCTAGCTTTCTTTGGCTTTCTGCAGTTACAGTGTCATTAAGGCCCATAATATTCCCTGCAGTAATTTAAAACAGCCAGATTATACCCTGGGATTAACTGAGTGGTTTTTGAGACATTTATTGTGGTATTCTCCCAGGAGGTTTGTATTATTGTTTTAAAATGTTACATCCCAAACTAAATACCCTTCTGCAGGGAGAAGAAATGGATTGCACTGACTTCTTAGGATCTTTAAGTAGAGAGGGAAAGTTTTTATTAGAAAACTTCTGGGAGCTACTCAACTGCATAGAATGAATACCTCAAATAAGATTAGAAAATTAGTCATGTTTCCATCACATTCATGTTTACTATATTAAAGATTCCTTTTCTAATTTTAAAATACTCAGCCTTAAATTCTTTCAGATTTTCACAATACTTGTTTTCACACATAATGGCTACTGACACATTTTCAAGTGTGTAAATGGTATCACGTGCTCTCACGTGGAAGCCAATTGGGATATCTCTTTGTTTTGTCTGTGTCAATCCAAGCACAGTAAGAAGTCCCCCACCTTTTGAGTTAAAGAAGGACGGATGGTACTCTTCTCAGTGTGCGGCACTTGACCCATTCCCTCTGGTGGAGCTGCAGCGGCTGCCACAGTGGCCTTGCCACGCAAGAACACCGGTTGAGGGGCAGGCTCCGCAGGGTGATGCCTCTTGGGGCGACTGTTTACAGTACACTCAGAACTTGGGTGAGCTGTACTGCTTTTGTTTGGAATTAAAATAGAGATGTGGTGTGTTATGAGGGAGAGTGTATTTTACATTTTTTTTTTTTTTTTTGGCCTACTGTGGTAGAAATGTCAAAGTTCCAGCCACTGTCATGAGAAGCAGTTGACAAAAATAAGTTTTATGGTTCACAGCGTGGTTTGCGTAGAGCACATCTCTCTTCACTCTGTTTCAACACGCTTTCTAAATCGTCATGGTTTGTTGCCATTTAACTCAAATTAGTTTTTAAAGAATAAATAGAGAAAATGTTTAATCAAATAAAGAAAGGCCGCATTGAAATCCTGCCGTCCCTGCCGTTCATCTGTTACCGCAAAACACAAATACTGTCTATGGTTAGGAAGAAGCGTGGGCTGAGACGCGGTCACGTGACCCGGGGGGCTGTGCGTGCACCCACACTGCCGCCACAGAACATAAATCACCTTAGTAATCTTACACCCAGAGCCGTGACAATGAGAACCAGTTCCTACACATGTTCTAACAAGAATCTGATTAACATTTTTGTGGATATGGAAAATAACTTTTTTTTTTAGTCAGACTGGCACTGTTGCTGAATTTAGAATGATTTCCTTATGTACTAAATAGCAAAATGTGGATCTTGTCTGTGAACAAATACAAGAATAAAATGTCATCTTTGTGTGATACCAGACAACCAAGGGGGCGCTTTGGGGATATAAAAGTATCGAATGATTGACAATATCTGGATGATAACTCATCTCCAACGATGAGAGCACATTTTAATAAGTCACTCATGCCTGAAGGCCTCTGACTACCTTAACAAAGAAAAACTAAACCTATGATTTATTATAGATTGGGCAGCGCGCCTAATTAAATCCATGAATGGGAGCAAACACAGCTTTACATCCCCTTTGTTCAGAACAAAAACAACCTCCAGGTCAACCAGAAAGCTAAACAGTATCAAAGCAATGGAAACAAGTGTTTTTAAAACTAAAAATACAGAATTAGAAAACATCTCCTCATGCTAATCTCTTTTATCTTGCAAGCTAGAAGTTTCACTTTCATTTGAGAGCACCACCAGTGGACTGCACCTCAGTCTGACCTGCAGGAGGACCGGCCCGTGTTACAGCATTGGCTGCCCTCGGGTCTTACCCTGGCTTTTCCACATGACCCTCACCAAGGTGTGAAGCCCGTTTCTCCGTCGGGCTTTGGGAAGTAAAGCCTGGGACTCTTAGACGGAATATGATGTCTCCAGAAGCAGATGCCTTCTGCTGTTTCCCCCTCCCGATCTACAGAGATTCACAGTCCCATCTCTGCAGCAGCATTACGGAAGTCTTCACTGGGCACCACTGGTTTTCTCTTTAAATAACATTTAGTATCTTGATTTTCTTCTTTCTGTCACCTAATCTGTGAACACCTGTATTCAGCTGAACATCTCCCTTCCATCTTTCTCATTTTTAAGGTTAATCAGAGCACATTTCATTCTCTTCTCTATGTGTTTGTATTCTGTGGTGGAAAGGATCGAACCCAGGGCCTTATACAGGCAAAGCAAGTCTTTTACCAGTGAGCTACACTCTAGCACTTCTCTTCCTTTTTTACCACTTCTCTTGTGGTGCTACAGGCACTTCTTTAGATACCAGCATCTAGCCAGGCATAGGGACACACACCTGTAATCCCAGTATTTAGTAGGCTGAGGCAGAAGGATGGATGGTGAATTCAAGGCCAGCTTGAGCTCTACTGCAAGACCCTGTCTCAAAAAAAGAAAGAAAAAAAAAGATACCAGCATCTGTGACAGGTCCAGGGGCCTTGCCAAAACATTCCTTTGTGTTAAGACATCTTTCTTTTTTTTTTAATTTTTATTCTTTGAGACGGGATTGCTGTGCTGCCCAAGCTTGTCCTCATCTGGCCCCCTTCCTGCCTCAGCTTCCCAAGTAGCTGGGTTTACAGGTATGTGCCTCCATAGCAGGCTCAGGTAGACCTCATGTAACATGATAAGGCACTTGTAGCTGTTATAAAACAGGAATCACAAGCTAATTTTTGTGTCTTTGCTTTTTGTATCTTTTTTACAAGTCACAGAACCAGAACCTCAAGAAGCTCTCGAGAATCACTGGTAAAGAGCTGAAGCATAAGAAAGTTTAGTGAAAAAAAGACTTTGAGAAGATATTTCATTAAAATCAAACCTTCTTGTTCAGATAATGTTTTGCTATAGTTACACATGTTATTTTGTTTTGTTTTGTTGTTTTTTGAGACAGGATCTCACTATGTGGCTCAGGCTGGTCTTAAATTTGCTATGTAGCCTAGACTGGCCTAGAACTCATGGCAATCCTCCTGCCTGAGCCTTCTGAGTGCTGGGACTACAGTCTTGTACTACCATGCCCAACAGTGACACATATTAATAACAATAGGAAAAATGAGGGAAACTTTAGAAAAAAACATAAGAGACTATAAACCTGTAACCTAGAGGCTGGGAAGAGTTTTCTCACCAAGGGAAAAAAAAGCTGTAAAACAAAACATCTTGAATATGTGAACATTAGGGCACAGTGACAGTTTTCATATCAGACTGTTAGAGTTCAAGGTAGAAAACAAAGGGTAGAGGGTATTTTGTACTGTTAAAGGGAACGAAATAGGTCAAAGATAATAGGAACTTAAATACGTATCCACCAAGGAGTATAGTCTCAAAATATATGACACACAAACTGACAGAACTGTGGAAAATATTATGGCTACATCAATTTCAACAGTAGGTTTTAACTCACAGAGGGGGATAGATCAAAAACTTCACGTCAAGATTTGCTAAGCTTGATTGCTACACTCAAAGGGATATAGAATTCACATGGCACATTCAAAGAAAACTCAACTGTGTACTCAACCACAGGGGAAGTTTCAATTTCCAAAGAATTTTGATCTGTGTTTCAGACTGTATTTCTCTAAGCAAAATGGAATGAAATCAGAAGTCAGTGGCAAAAAGGGAGCTAGAACAAAGAATCCTTTCTAAAAATTATGAATGTGTTTATTTATAATCGACAAATAAAAATTACGTAGGTTTGTGGGTATGTGATTATCCTGGTGCCTAGTAGAAAAAGAAATAACCCACTCCTGAAACATAATGAGGAGAGAGACAGTGGCACAAACCTTACTTTATGCATCGGTCTGGGAAGTAAACACCAGTTCAGAAGCCCACCCCAGAGGAGGGGCCTGGAAAACGTTGAGCACAACAGAGAAGAGTGCGGGGAGGGGCTCTATGCTGGCAAAACGCAGGTTACACCCGTGCAGGTCCCCGCAGAAGAAGGCCATGCCCTAGGGGAGACACTGAGAGCAGACCTGAAGCCTGGTGCCCGGGGTTTGGATCTGGATGTTTCCCAAAGACTCAGGTGCCATAGGCTTGGCCACCAGCCCGTGGCACTACTGGGAGGTGATGGAACCCTTACTGTGTGGGGCCAGTGGGAGGAAGTTACATCATAGGGGCCACATCTTCGAAGGGAATCCTGGGCCCTTCCTCTCTCTGTTTTGCAGCTGCCATGAAATCAGCAGCTTTGAATCACCACACACTCCCCACCGTAATGTACCGTGTGACCATAGGATCAAAGCAACAGGACAGAGGAACCCTGGGCTGGAACCGTAAGCCAAATTAAATCTTTCCTCCCTGTAAATTGTTTTGGGTGTTTTGTCACAGCACTGGAAAGCTGACTAGGGAGACTCAGAGCGTAGGCTACAGGAGAAGTGAAAGGGCAAGGGAGGGGCTTCAGAATGCACAGGACCAGAGGTGGTAGCCTGGGAAAAGCACTGTGGAGGAGAGAGGGACGTTTTGGAAGAGAGAGAGCTACCCCAGGGAGACACGGAAGAGAGATAAAAGCTGAAACCATGGGCCCCCGTGAAACAAGACAGTATCCTTAAATGGTGTCGATGCCAGTAAAAAGCATTTCTTCGGAAACTGCATTTTGCTGTCACAGTAAAAGAGGACACCAATGAGCTGAGAAACTTGTAAACCACACAGCCCTTCCCCAGCCATGTGATTCTCCATCCTGGCTGGGCCAGGGAAATCCAAAATAGTTTCAACAGAAAAGGGAATCCTATATCCATCTTCCATAAGACCACAAAATGAAAAGAAAAGCTTCAGCTGTTGCCGATTATACTTAACTAACACTAGAGAAGTCGCAGGAAAAAGGAGTAGCTGCCCATTCTACCACCGCCCAGCATCAGCCATTAACACCTAGCATATTTCACGTTTTTCTTTTCTTTTTGAGAAATAGTCTCACTCAGTAATTTAGGCTGGTCTCAACCTCACTGTGTATCCTAGGCTGGCCTCAAACTCACAGCAAGCCTCCTGCCTCAGCCTCCCAACTGCTGGGCTTAAAGGCATGCATCACCATGCCCGGCTCATATCTTTTTTTTTAATGCATAAAATTTTTGAAATTAACGCAAATAACATATGTCTGTATTTTCACTAAAAGAATAATACAAGCCAGGTGTCTTGGCACATGCCTGTGATCCCAACCCTTGAAGGCTAAAGTGGGAGAATCACAAGTTTGAGGTCAGCTGATTTCATGGCAGCTGCAAAGCAGAGAGGGGAAAGGACCAGGGTCCCAGTATTCCCTTCAGAGAACTACACAGATGTCTAAGTCACACTTTCTTTGTAGCTAGGACACAATAGCTGACGCCTGCAGTATAAAGGAGGAGGTATTTATTTTGGGTCACAGTTTGCAGAGGTTTCAGTCCACTGGCTCAAAGGCAGGACAGCATGGCAGAGGAAGGCTGCTCACATCAGGGCAGACAGGAAGTCATCAAGGGAAGAGCTGGGAAGGAGAAATTACTTCCTGGGTGAAGCCCACAGTGACCTCCTCTTCCAACAAGAACCATCGCCTAACAGCTCTTCAGCTCTAATACCTCTGTGATCCAGTCATCTTCCAAAGGTCCTGTCCATGATCTCCTGAGGCTTTAGAGAAGCATCTAAATATTGATAATAATAGTGAGAGCCTCTCCATAGTGCAGATAGTTAAAATCTCTGTGTGACACCACCTCTAATCCAATCTACTCCTTGCCACTGGAGTTTTCCTTTTTTATGTATACTGTACTATGCATGTATCCACACAGTATGTATAAAATTATTTGCTTAAGTAAATGTGAAACTGCAGGCTTTGTTTATACAGTTGTTTTTTTTCACATAATTGTTTAAACACTGTTTTTGAAATGTACCCAATGTTTTCAATTGCTACAATAAACTTATCCTTGGGGAGAAAAAGAGAACTCTCTTTTAACAGGATAGAGTTCTACCCCAGTAAAGAATTGGATGGTTTGAATGAACCATCTTTCCTATTATGGACAACTAGAAAAATCGGACTCTGTGTGTGCACGTGTTTACATACATAAGTATTATTCGAAAGCATCAAAGTGCTCTCCAGCCACCTGGGCTGCAGAAATTTGCAGAGGACAGTATGATAAAGGAAAGCCAGGAAGATGAGCCACACACTAAGGCTCATTTCCCCGCAGAGGCATCTGCCAGTCTGAAAGAATGGATGAAGGGCTGAGCAGAGCCTTCAACAGACTCATAAGTCTTTTAGGGACAAAATTGGAATTCAGCACCCACCAAATAGTAGAAGCCCAAGTAAACACCATAGCCTTTGAATTGGGACTTCGAAAAACTAAACTAGGAAAATAATGGTGACTTAGCAATAGTCTATCCCAAAATATAAGCTGTTTTGAATCTTCTCAATCTCTAAATGGGTTAAGGTCATCCAAGATTGCTAGAACCACTGGCCCAAACATCTCTCAGGAACAAAGACAATGTCCCATAGAAGATATCATCCATGCCCTCAAATTGTTCCTATATTTTTTATGTAACACTTTCGGTACACATATAAAAATAGTCCAGGAGAGCCAAGCATGGTGGCACATGCCTGTAATCCCAGCACTCAGGAAGCTGAGGAGGGAGGATTGTTGTGAGTTCGAGGCCAGCCTGGGCTACAAAGTGAGTTCAAGACCAGCCTGAACTGCATAGTGAGACCGTGTCTCAAAAACACAAAAAAATAAACAAATAAAAATAGTCAAGGACACAAAACCCTGTGACAGAAGACCAAGATGACAAAAGACAAGCGAACCACTCACAAGTAATTCACATAATGGAACCATCATCTATGAATTTCCAAGTAACATTTGATATGTTCATAAATTTTCTTTTAAGGAAATCATGAGAAATTTCACAAAGACTTAGACATTACTTTTTAATCCAAATGGAAATTTTATTAATTGAAATTACAGTAACTGAAATTAATTCACTGGATAAGGTTAACAGTAAATCATACACCGCTTAAGAAAGATTCAGTCAACTATAAAAAAAAATTTGCAGAAAATATCCTTTCTGATGGAAAGAAAATGGGAAATACAAAAAAAGAGAGGTAGAAAACACAGACTAATATGGAAAATTAAACACATTCTTAATGGCCCATGAGAAGAAAAGGAGAAAGATAAAACCAATATTGTAAGAAGCAGTGGCAGAGAATTCTCCAAAATAGATACAAGGCACAGGTTTTAAGAATGATTTAATCCCATTTGCTCAAGATGAGCACGCACAGGGGCGGGGGATATGGCTCAGCGGCACAGCGCCTGCCTGGCAAGAGCGAGGTCCTAAGTTGGATTCCCAGTACCAAAAAAAAAAAAAAAAAAAGATAAAGATGGGCAAGCACAAAGAAAATAATTTAAGACACATTGTAGAAAAACAGAAAACCAAAGAGAAAAGCTTACAGGCAGCCAGAGACAAAAAGATCTTCAAAGAGCAACAACACCAAAATGAAGCAATACTTTCCTAACAGAAACAGCAGAAAAATTTGGAAATAGTATGAACCACCTCCTGAACCCCTACTTCATCTGCTTCCTCATCTTTTAGCAGTTGAGAGAAATTCCTGAGCAGTGGGATCAGGAGTTAGGGGATTATGCACCCCATCTCCAACCCTCTTCTGGACAGTTGAGGCACATTGTACATAGCTGTTCTGGAGCCTAGCAGGATCAAGCCACAGTAACTCCTAGAGGTGATCCACTTGATGATACAACTTTGCATTGCCTTTGCCATCTAATTTATTGCTCCCAGCCCTTCAGACCTGGCTCCACGACAGTTTTCCCAGTAAATTACCTGCATACAAGCCTTTGCTTGATACTTGCTTTGGGGCAACCCACAGTCAGAAGATACCTAGAATGGTCCCCAAAAGTAGGACATCAGGTGGAGTCTGAAAAGAGGACACTTACTAATCCTTTGGGGTTTTTTTATTTTAAAGAGGAAGGAAACAAAATCACAACAGTGAAGACCAAAACAATAAAAACAATACAGGATTTGAAAACAAGACGATAGGAATTAACAATGGTTGTTGTATGACATGTTGTTATCTTCAATGAAGTTACTCAGAAAAAAAAAAAGATAGTATTCATGGTAAGTGATGTTGAGAACATGGGATATGACACATTTTTAGTGGTGGTCGGTTAAGTATGGGGTAGGGGAAGGAGAACTGATTATCAGCTATTTAGTTTTCTGGGTTGATATTATAATTCAATTTTTTAAGTGTGTTTGTTTGTTTGAGATGGTCTTGTTATGTAGCTCAGGCTGGCCTTGAACTCATTGCATAACCTCGGCTGGTCTCAAACTCATGGCAGTCCTCCTGCCTCAGCCTCCCAAGTGCTGGGGTTACAGATGCATCCCACCATAACTGGCTGTTTTTTGAAGTTTAAATAAAACTTTTTAGTGAACAAAAAGCTCCAAAAGGAATAAAACCAGTCACTGGGTATGATGGTACATGCTTGTAATCCCAGCTACTCAGGAGGCTGAGGCAGGAGGATCATAAATTTGAGGTCAGCCTTAGCAACTACCAAGACCCTGCCTCAGAATAAAAATGACAAGGGATATAGCTCAGTGATAGAATGTTTGCCAAGCAGGCTCGGGGGTGGAAGGGTGAACAAGGCATTTATAAAGAAAATAAAGTGAAATTTGGCATTAAATTTATTAAGAGCAATTTACAAAACAAGACAATAGTGAAATGATCTTATGAAATAACTCAAGAACCAAGGATATTTTCTCTAACTCAACTATCTTTCTGAAATCAAAGGTATAAAAAAAAAATTTTATTGCAGTGAAATTCACATAACATAAAATTAACTATGTGAGAGTGAACAATTGATAGCACTAAATTCATTTGACATCTCATTCATTATTACCTCTATCTACTTCCAAAACATTTCAATTGCTCCAGAATAAAACCCCCGTCCCTCAGCCTTTGGCCAACCTGCATTTTGTCTCTGAATGTGTCTGTTCAGATTTTAATTCAGATGGAACCGTATGATATGCAGTCTGTTGTGTCTGGCGTCCTCATATAGCACAGTGCTTTCAAGGTCTGTCATGCAGTCCTCATTGGCACCTCTTTCTGTCTGTGACTGAATGACGCTCTGTGGCGTGGCTGCACTGCCCTTGTTTAGCCATTATCACTTGCTGGCCGCTTGAGTTGCTTCTGCCTTTTGGCTGTTGTGAGTATGCTGTAACGAAGGCCTGTGTAGACGGACTTGTTTGAACATGTGCTTTCCATTCTTTTGTAGAAGCATCTAGAAGTAGAATTGCTGGATCGTGTCATAATTCTGTGTAACTTTTTAAGGAACTACCGAGCTATTCACACGTGAATCATTTCACATCACCTCTGGTTCCGATTTCTGTACATCCCCGTAACTCTTGTTAGTTGTGAGTATGAAGCAGCCTCTCTCGAACTTTCCTGATGACTAAGAGACCTTACCATCTTTTCATGCTCTTATAGAAAACTGTAAACATGAAAAAATCAGGGCAGTTTTGTACTGATGAGTCCTTTCTGAGGATTTTTTTTTTTTTTTTTTTGTCTTTTTGAGACAGGGTCTCACTATGCAGCTCACGTTGGCCTTGAGCTCACTTTGTAGCCCAGGCTGGTCTCAAACTCGCAACGATCCTCCTGCCTCAGCCTCCTGAATGCTGGGATTACAGGCGTGCGCCACCTCTCCCAGCTCTGAGGAATTTAGTAGAAGACAACCTGCATCCAAGTTAAAAGATGAATGAGAAAAGCGTTGAAAGACTGTTGGGGAGGACTGACCATATTTAACCATAGAGTTTCAGCAAACAGAAGGTGGGGGTGAGGGTAGAAGAGAAGACTGAAGTTGTATGTTCTTACAAAGTATAAATTTGTGTGTGTGTGTATGTGCGCGTGCGTGTATGTGGGTATGATAATCCAGGGGCACTGTCCCACTAAGCTATACCTCAGCCCGTTTTATATTTTGTTTTGAGACAGGTCTCTTTGAGTTGCCCAGGCTGGACCCCAGCTTGCAATACTCCTGTCTCAGCCTCGCAAGGAACTGGAATTACAGGCATGAGCCACCAAACCGTCTTTTCTTTTAATTATTAGAAGACAAGGGAAAAAGAAAAGGGAGAGTAGAGTATGCTTTTAGCATGATAAGTGGCTCAAAGTTATCACTTAAGGCAGAAAAACTATATAACAAAAGACCAAGTAAAGAAAAATGTCAGCACTATATACTAGTGAAAAGAGAGCTACTGAAACAAAATCACAAATTTTTCCAATTACGAAAAATTGTTTTTAACTGGAAGAGGCAAAGAAAACAGGCTACAGAGTGAAGAACATGAGATAAATATAGCATGCACAGTCAGTATAACACAAAATAACAGAACAGAACTAAGACCAGACCTTTAATTTGCAGCCCTAAATATATATGATCTTAACAAACTTATGAAAAGAGAGAACACATTTTCAGGTTGGCTTACAAGGCAAAACTCGGCCTTATACTGTAAGGCACACTTCAAAAACGCAGTGAGCAATGCTGTACCAGGCAAAAGCACATAAAGAAAGCAGGAACTGTAAACTTGAGAGCTGACAAAATGAAATTCATGGGTGGAAGGGAACTGCTTAATAAGACAAAACTCTTTATGCTACTAAAGGCCATAATTCATGGAGAAGATCAGAGCAGCAGTCTTCATAAAGAGTAAGTAGAGGAGAAGAGAAACACAGGGGAGCACCTGAAGAGGGAACTGTAAGATCTACTGTCCACCCAAGAAAGGACAAACAGGCCAAAGAAGAAGAAAGGCGACATCCACAATGCAATCCCAAGTTCGATCTTAGAAAAATACACGTCGGTGATCAAAAAATACAATGAGTGTTTAAATATTTTTCTAGTTTATTACGGTAAAAGACACATTGCTGTCCCCATCAAAATACTTCCCCCTTGCCCTGAGTGCGCTTGTCCTAGTCTTTCCATTCTCTGAAGCAGTTCTGAAAGTCCTCTTCTGTGAGTCTTTTTAATAAGGTACAATGTAAATGACACTGAGTAATGCTGCAAGGTTCCATCCAACGGCAAGACGGGCTCACAAAAATGTTACAGCGCCTTCTTCACCTGATTGGGCACTGTGTGACTTCCGGCTCTTTCCTGGAGTAAAAATGACCACAAAAACTAAATGCTTTGAATCAAATTAGGATATTGCAGCAGCCATGACAATGCAATGAGGACACTCACAAAGAGGTCTTCCAGAACTGCTTCAGAAAGGGACAAGAGGGGTGGGAGATAGCTCAGCAATGTGAAGCACCTGCCTGGCAAGCTCAAGGTGGTGAGTTTGATTTCTGGTACTAAAAAAAAAAAAAAAATGACAAGAACAATGGGATAAGTCTGTTGGAACCAAGGGGAGGTATTTTGAGAGAGATTAATGGCAGTGAGTCTTTAATGAACTTTTTTTTTTGTCTTTTTGAGGCAAGGTCTCACTAAGCAGTTCAGCCTGGCCTTGAGCTCACTTTGTAGCCCAGTCTGACCTCGAACTCGAAACGATCCTCCTGCCTCAGCCTCCCAAGTGCTGGGATTACAGATGTGCGCTATTTAATACACTTTTTAAAAATTTAAACATTCACTGTATTTTCTGATCACACCACATATTGAGTCCTCTTATCAAAGAGAATTATTTTCAAATACATGGAACATTCATGGAAATTGGCCATATGTGAGGTCACCAAGAAAACAATAAATTCCATTACCCATTTATACCAAAGATTGACATTTTTTAAATGTTTCCATGAAATTCATATATGTTACCTAGAAAACGTCAAAGAAAGGTATTTGAAGAGAATGCATTTCCTTATGTTCCATTGTTATGGGCATTCCAAAAGTGGAACACGAGGCATTGAAGGATTAAGAAAAAATAAGTGTCTTACTGGAGTGCAATAAAACAAAAGGTAGAAGGTCTGTGTCTGCAAATTTTAAAAAGTACAAACTTTTCCGTCAAAGGAGATATATAAATTGAAATGGTACAATTGCTTTTAAACATAATGATTACAAAAACACCACAATCAGAATCTTTGAGATATAGTTAAAGCAAAGATTGAGAGAAATTGCCTATATTAAATGCACAAATAAAACAAAGGGTAACACTAAATTAAATATGTATCTCAAAATCTGGAAACAAAAATAAATCTAATGAAAATAGAGGAAAGAAAATAGAGCCGAGTGTGTGGTGCACGCCTGTAATCCCAGCACTCAGGAGGCTGAGGCAGGAGGATCGTTGCAAGTTTGAGACTAGCCTGGGCTACAAAGTGAGCTCAGGGCCAGCCTGAACTGCACAGGGAGACCCTGTCCCCAAAAGACAAAAATAATAATAATAATAATAATGATAAAACAGAAACTAAATTTAAAAACCAAATAGTAGAACTAATGGCTAAAAAGATAATTCTTGAAATAACTGTCCAAATAAATCTAAGGAGAACACACACACACACAAATTAAAACACAACAGTGGGAGGTTAACTACTGAATCACAGTATGTTCTGAAATAGTATGTGTCTAACTTCCAATTCTGTGCAAATACCTTTAAAAACCTAAGTGACATGGAACTTAGGGGAGAGATAAAGTTTAAAAATCGGTTTCCACCAAAACTGGAGCTGGTGGTACATACCTATAATCCCAGTACTCTGGGAGGCTGAGGGAGGAAGATCACAAGTTCAAGCACAGCCTGGGCAATTTAGCAATTTAGTGAGACCCTGTCTCAAAATTTAAAACAACAAAACAAAAAAATCAGTTTCCATACAAGATAAAATGATCACCAAGCTAATCTCAAAAAGCAACAGGAGCAGGTGGCTTTGGCGGGGATCCCAGAACACCTTCAAAGAGTAGATTGTTTTAATGTGATTCAAGCTGTTCCAGAGAAATAAAAAGAAGGAAAATTTTCATAATTGTAATGAAGTAAATATGTCATTGATTTGTAAGCCAAATAAACACTGCCTACACATATGCAAAAGAAAACAACCTTATATTACTAATCTCAGTTATGAATATTGAATCAAAAGTCCTAAGTAAAACAGTAGCAAGTAGACTTGAGCATCACATTGAAAAAATATAATCCATCATGATTAAGAGGTGTTTATTTCAGGAACACAAATAGTGTGGCTCAGATTTAGAAGCAGACCCAGGTTCGTACAGGAAGTTGCCACATCAGAGGTGACATCAAAGTAGTGAGGAGAAATGGACTACTCAGTAATGGTGCTAAAATCATTGAAAAAACATTGGATCAGTATATCACAAAAAAATTGGATCAGTATATCACAACTCAAAATAAATTTTATAAAATTTACATGCAAAGAAGGAAACTAGAACACTAAATATAAAAGCACTAGAAGTAAAAATAAATTACAGTATCAAGTGGTAATTGTCTACAAAGTCAAGGATCTATGAAAGTAGCAATAAAGTTGACTATAAAATGAAAATGTCCTCATGACAAAAAATCATAAAATCAAAAGACAAAAACCTGGAAAAATATTTGCTAAAATTGAGGCAAAGCTAATGTCTTTAATGCATAAAGAGATCTTAAAGAAAAAAGACCAACAACCCACAGAATAATGGGTAAAGGATATGAAAACCCAGTTACAGAAAGTTCAAATGACTTAATGGAGTGTGTATGACATTAATATTATCAAATATGCTGATATAGATTGATGATATTAAATATGGAAAAAAGCTGGGCTGTGGTGGCACATGCCTATAATCCCAGCATTCTGAGAAGCTGAGGCAGAAGGATTACAAAATGAAAGCCAGGCTGGACATTCAATAAAAAGACTGAGGATACAGCTCAGTCAGTACAAAGGTCCTGGATTTAATTCCAAGCTCCCCACAAAAAAGAAACTTTCTCATAATTTAAAAAAAAAATCAATCCACAGTGATATATAATTTCCAACTACCTAATTAATGAGGTTTAAGATGTTATAATACATGGCATTTGAAGGGCTGTGTGCATGCATTGGTAGCGGGAATCATTTCCTACAAACAACATGGAGACCAATTTTCAATTCTATTAAAATTTAAAATGCACTCATCTTTTAGTCAACAATTCCACTTGTAATAATCCACACTGAAGATGTATTTGCAAAAGAAAGAAATGACATATGAAACAAGATTGTTAGTTCAGAATTTTTTTAAAAAGTAAAAATTGAAAACTACAAATTCAATGGGGAAATCGTTGTGTAAGTCACGAGACTGAATGGTGTGCAGCTGTTTAAAACATGCAACCCAGAATGCACTGATACAGAATAGTCACCAGCATTCACTGTGTCTGCTTGGTTTGGGTCTTAAAAGAACAAAATTGTATTCTTTCACGGCTCTGGATGCTAGTGGTTCTAAGTCAGAGTGTCCTTCCCTCTGATGCTGCAGAGATGGGCTGTCCCCTGCCTCTCTCCTAGCGTCTGGTGGGGCTGGTAAGTCCTTGGCCTCCACTGCTTTCTACCCCTCTTCCTCCAATCTGCCTCCATCTTCAGAGAGCCTTCTCCTCTCTGTCTTTAAAATGTATTTGTTAGTGAAAAAGTAAGGTAAAGAGTATCGTGAGGAGTGTGCAACAAATTATATTAAAATACATATGTGCATGGACTTGAACACAAATACCTTTGGAAGCATACCAAAGGTTGTAAGTCATAGCTGCCACAGGAAAGAGAACTGAGTAGGTAGGTGAAGAAATAGAAGAGAAATGTACTGTATTTAAAACTGTGTTTTATATTATGGGGCCAATAATATCCCTTAGTTTTGCAGGCTGATCAGGTCCACAATCTCCTGAATGAGTGTACGGTGAAAGCTAAATAAAAAGAGGCAAATAGCATGATTTCAGGGCTGCAAGAGGATCAAAGCCCTCTCACAGAATTCAAGCTTTTATCAGGGCTAAGACCAAGACCTTCTCTGGGTCGCCCATATTTATTTGGTTATCAGAAGAAGGGAGGGGAGTACTCAAGAAGGGGCAGAACTACTCAAGGACTTCTCTAAATAAGGTATTAAGTTAATCCACTGAAGAATGAGATGCCTGAGGCTGTAGGCTTTAGGTGAGATCTGATCCAGGTGTCCTTGGCTGTGATCTTGTCTTATCCTTTGAGGCTTTCTGGCTTCATTCACCACTACAGGCTTTAGTAGGGATTAGTGACTCACTGAGGTTCACTTACTATGAGCCTGCCCTTTCCAGATGAGGAGCCTAGGCCTTGGACAGATTCACAAGTGAACATGAAAAGCCAATTGATTAGTTTAAGTCCTGGTCAGGTCTGCTTCATAGTAGTCTCCACCATTATATCTGAGCTATATTATATATATCATAAATTTTATCCACTTAAAAAGTAGAGCTTTTTTAAGTGTATTCACTTAAAAAGATGTGATTTTTTAAGTGTATTCACTGACTTCTTTAACCGCCACCAAAATCTAATTTTAGAATATTTTCAACATTCTCCCCCCAAAAAACACATGTATGTTAGCAGCCATTCTCTTCATCCAGGCCCCTAACCCCCATCCCAGGTATTCGCTAATCTGCTTCTGTCTCTAATGGATCTGCCCATTCTGGACATTTTACATAAATGGAATCATATAAGATGTGGGCTTCATGCCTGGCTTCTTTCACATCGTATACAGCAGTGTCTTCAAAGTTTGTTCCTAGTTCACTGTGCATCAGTATTTCATTCTTTTCTGTTACTTAATAATATTGCATTATATGAACACACCACAATCCATTTAAACATTAATTAGTTAATGGACATTTAGGGTTCTCTTTTCTACTTCTTGTTCATATCTTCTTGATATGAACATTTGTGTACAAGTGTTCTGCACAAGTATTATGTGTTTATTACTCTTGCATATATATGTAGGAGTTAAATTTTGGGGTTATGTGGTAACCCTGTGTTTAACTTTCTGAGGAGCTACCAAACAGATTTCCAAAGTTGGTACAGCATTTCCCATTTATACATTTTGAGTTTTATACCACATGCTAGTATTACTTACTCAAGACAATCAATAAAATATTTTTAAAATAATGTTACAGCTATACCCATTAACTTGAAGGGATTTTCACTATTCCATTTAGACTGTGATCTAAAGCAAGATACTGTCAAGTAAAAGAAATGCCATCATGGGTCACTTAATGATGGGGACACACTCTGAGAAATCCCGCAGTTAGGTGCTTTCCTGTTGTGTGACCATCATAGAATGTGCTTACAGAGATTAACATGGTTACATTACTAGGCAATACAATCTGATAGAGCTACTGTCATAAATGTAATTCACCTCTAACTGAAATATCAATACATGGCAAACAATAATAATAATAATAATAATATACTTCTGTAAATTATATCTGTTATAAATGCATCTGGGTACAAGGAAACAGTAATCTACACTAACAGTGGTTTAAGCAAACAGGAATTTATTTTTCTACCATAACTGGTAGTCTGAAGATAATTCCTAGTATTGGTACAGCAAGGCAGTAAGATCCTGAAGGACTCATGCTTTTTATGTTCCTGTCCCAGCATTCTTAAAGTTGGTTTGTCATTTAATGGCCAGAAGATGCTTGCAGCCCCCATAGGCCACATGTATGCATCCTATGCAGAAAGAAGGGTTACCACATCACCCAAAGCAAAGACCCTACTCAATCAGCCAGCAAACTTTCCTAGAAGCCCCACCCATCCAAATTCCACTAACATCTCATTGGCCAAACCTGGGTCACCTGGCTACCCTAGCTGCAAGGGAGTCTAGGGAACATGGGGAAAGGATTATCACTATTGGCTCAAACCAGTGTTGACCCATTGTCAGAGATAAGCATACTGCATTGCAAATACAATTAACATTCTACTAGCAAGGAAGAATGGGCTCACCAACACCAAGGACACACAATCAAAAATAATTGTACAAGCGAGAGAAATGTATGGAAAGATGCACCTAAGAGTGTCAGTAATAGTTTAGAAGGGTAGAGGGAAAAGACAGCAGGACTGGGGTGTGGGGATATTGGTGCACTGAGCAACAACTAAGCACTCAGCAACTAACCTTTGAAACAAGACACATTCTAGCTTACACTGAAGGCCCATGTGGGAACTAAAGGAAGCTGTATAACCAGTCTCTCCATAACTTTTGTTAGTGTCTTCATAGTGAGAAATTGTAAGCTTGGACATTGATATCAGAAGCCCGCTAACTGTCTTTGGGTATACACTGATAAATACAGTGATACCCAGTAAATTGAGAACAAATTCTCAATTTCAAAAAATTCAACAAGAACTGCAAAGAGTATACCTTGAAGAGCCAAAATTGTCTTACAGGAATACAGGAAGGGATAAAATGGGTTATGTACACAGGAAAGATAACCTTAAAAGTAAGAAGTCACAACAAGGAAAATTTGACATGAAATCACTACCTTCAGAAATGTATAGTGGATGTACATGGCTTCTCAATGGCTCCAGATAGACTCTTCTCAGTCTCTTGCTTCACATTCCCAGTCTGATCATCATGCTTCCTCCAAAATCTATAAGAGAGTCAGAGGTAGAGAATCTAAATCTGTTTTGGTAATAGAATTGAGTCAGATGAGCTGTATATTAAGGCCCCATCTCGTGTCCCCTCTGCCACAGTTCAGATTCTAGCTATGGCTTTGGTGGCCAAATCTGTGAAGACTTCAACTCACATCACCCTTATAGTGTCTTGCCTCAGGTGCCCGCTGCGTCCTTTCTCCTGCTCTGGAATTTCTGTGAAGTTGTGCACACCAGTAGGCGTTTACTGGGCATAAACACACTCCACAGCAAGCTATTGCATGATGGAAATGGTACGTTCAGGCTCAGGTCCAAGAGCCGGATCCAGAGAGCAATGCAGAATACTGGTAAGATCCCAAACAGATGGCTCAAACATCACTGCCACCTGAATGCCTCTTCCTTAACCCACAGGTCTGATCTCATGGGACAAGAAGAGTGTTTGCTACAACTACATATCAGCAGAAGGAGGAAAAAAAAAAATCTGAGGCATGATGTATGGATCAACAAGCTTAACTTGTTGATGTGAGCTGAAAATGGATTGCTGCCGCTGTCCAGAGGCAGAGTATGAAACAGATGGGCAGAGTAATCAGCAGAAGCCTGAGGCACAAGCAGGGGAATAGGCACAAGAGAACCTATCTTTGTGTCTAGAGCTAGTGCACGCCAGAAATTGCCTACCACAAAGTAGACCCTCGGCAGTTCAGTAGCTGGGATGACTGATGCCACAGTACTTATTTATATGTAACTCTACAAGCCTGTGAACAGAACGCTCATGGGAGCAGGGATGGAGCCCATGCACTGCCTCAATGTGGCGGACTCCTCTCCAAGGCTCGCCCTAGCTACCACGCCAAGTGCTCAGCCAGCCAGAACATGGACCAACACTGAGTCCTTGCTGTGGTGCTGTCCCTCACAGAGATCAGCCATTGCTTTTTAGAGTGTGGTTGTCTTATTAATGTCATTGTCATTTCTTGCTTTGGCATATCAACTCCTAGTGCAGATGTTTATGTTCAAAATGTCTACCAAGTACAGTCATTAGCAGCAGTGGTGTTTGCTATCAGGAACAGTAGAGGAAAGCATTCTTCCATGGAACACCTTCCTGTGGAGGGGCAGCATCGCTGTTAGTGATACCTGGAGTTAAGTCAAGCAAGACATGAGGAGCATCAGCTTAGCTTGGTTACTTCCTGTTCATTCCAAAGCAGGACTGACATATGCAGCTTGGTCTGTTTCTAAAGCAGATGTTTCACTCGGATCGCTCCACCGGTACACAACATAATTGTAAATATTCATGTTTTCATATTACATGTCGATGGAAATGATTTGCATGGAAGAGTCCTTAAATGTCAAATAAAACATCACCATTGAGCTTGAGCTCATACCAAATGATTGCTTTTATGGCAATTAACTTCCTATTTTGGTTCAGTCTTGTTAGTGTCATTGTTTATGTTATTAAAACCAACTGCACAACACCAAGGCCGTGATTCATGAAAGAAAAAATAAGCTGGACTTCATTAAAATTAAAAACTTCTCTGTGAAAGACATTGTCAAGAGAATGAGACAAGCCAGAGACTAGGAAAAACATATTTTCAAAAGAGATATCACTATTATTATCAAACAAACACACACACAAAAAAAAAACTGTTAAAACTCAAAAATAAGATGAACAACCTAATTTTAAAATGAGCAAAAGACCCAAACAGACACTCACCAAAGAGTCTATCCAGATGGCAAATAAGCATATGAAAAGATGCGCAACAATCATGTGTCATCAGGGAATTGCAAATTAAAGCAACAAGGAGCCTGGGTGTACAGCACAATGGGAGAGCACGTGACTAGCATGTGCAAGGCCCTGGGTTCCAGCAACAAAGAAAAACCCACAAACAAAAAATGAGATGCTACGATACATCTATTAGAACAGCCAAAATCCCGAAGCCAAAACACCGACACACCCAAGGCCAGTGAGAATGTGGAGCAACAGAACTGTTGTTCGCTGCTGGTGAGAACGCAACATGCAACAACCGCTTTGAAAGACAGTTGGACAGTTTCTTGCAAAATTAAACATAGTCTTACCACGCAATTCAGCAACCACAGTCCTTGGTGTTTACCCAAAGAAGTTGAGAACTTACATCCACGCAAAACTCTGCACACAGGCATTCATAGCAGCTTTATTCATTAGTGCCAGTGCTTGGAAGCAACAGGGACATCCTTCAGCCAGTGAGTGATTGACTGTGGTACATCCAGACAGTGGGATACTAGTCAGCACTATAAAGACACGAGTTGTCAAGCCATGAAAATACATAAAAGAGCCTTAAATACACATTACTAAGTGAAGAAACCAGTCCAAAAATGCTATATTTCCAACTAGATCATCTTCTGAAAAATGCAAAACTATGTGGACAGCAAAGAGATGAGTGGTTGTCAGTTGGAGTGAAAAGGGACAAATAGGTGCAGCATAGATTTTTAAAACACTGAAACTACAATATTATGGGGCTGGGGATTTAGCTCAGAGGCAAAAGCGCCTGCCTGGCAAGCGCAAGGTCGTGAGTTCGGTTCCCGGTACCGGAGAAAAACCAAAAGAAAAAAAAAAAAAAAGAAACTACAATATTATAATGGTGGATGCAGGGCTACCACTAAGTGAACACTAATGTACACTGGCTGTGATAACAACATGTCAGTTTATTGCCAATAATAAACAGGTCATTCTCACACTGGATCTTTGCAGTAGAGGAAGCTATGAGGAGCTGGGGGCAGGAAGTTTACGGGAACTCTGTGCTTTCTGACCAGTTGTGCTGGGAACCTAAAACTGCTCTAAAAAATGACATCTTTTAAAAAAAGAAAGAAGGCCCGGCATGGTGGCGCACGCCTGTAATCCCAGCACTTGGGAGGCTGAAAGAGGAGGATCGTTGTGAATTCAAGGTCAGCCTGGGCTACAAGGTGAGCTCAAGGCCAGCCTGAACTGCACAGCAAGACCCTGTCTCAAAAAGACAAAAATAAATAAAAATAAAAAAGAAAGAAACATTACATTTGTCCTCACAGGCTTCCTCTTTGAAACCCTAAAGCTCTTTAGGTGTTAAAAGGGTCCTTCACATGAGATTCTTGGGTAACAGAAGAAAAATATCTCTTCAAACTATATAAAAAGAAGCGGGACAGCAGAGTCCTCTGACTGGGGTTCACTCGTTCTGCTCCTGACTGCATGCCCATAACTGGACCCGGTTCCTTGGGTCTTGCGCCTCAGTGCTAACAGGAAAACATTGGAAGAGATGACTCTAATACTAACCACACCATGAAAATATGATACTTTCATTTCCATTTTTCATTTTCATAGAGAATAATAAGCTTCCAGGGCCATTGTCACAATATACACCATTATTCTACAGCAAACATAACTTTAGAAGTCAGGCAACAGACTTGTACTGGGAAAATAGGAAGAAAGCTATTGCAGATGCTTTTTCATCTCTGTGCTCTTTAGATTAGTTTTTTTTTTTTTTTTTTTTTTTGAGACAAGGTTTCCTTATGCAGTTCATGCTGACCTTGAACTCACTTTGTACCCCAGGTTAGTCTCAAACTCACAGTGATCCTCCTGCCTCAGCCTCCTGATGCTGGGATTGCAGGGGTACACCACCACACCCAGCCTAGATTATATAATTTCTATTGGTAAAATATTTAATTTCACCTAATCTGCTATGCATTTTTAATTTTAGACATTTTCTATCTAGGTTCTAATTTTTGTTTCATTTCTCTGATTTACTATTCATTCATTACAAGTATTTTTTTTATGTTATTCAGCATTGTTATAAAAGCCGCATTAAGATTTTGTCTTCCATGTCTAACATCTAGGTTATCTTGGGATTAGTCTCCTTCAGTTGTGGTCTCATTTGTTTACTTAATGAGCAGTCAACTCCAGTGAATTCAAAGTCTAAATTCTGTATTTTGTGCAGAGGGCTGCAACTGAAATCTCAATTCATTCTTTTATTTATATCTTGATTTCTTAAAATTTACCTTAAGTATATGCAGATCATAAAGTAGCTGAAGATTTGAGCAAAATGAATAGACTGACTCCTGTGCTCCCTTTTTGCCCATCTCTTTCAAACTTTCCCGTTTCTGCTTTCTAGATCCTGAGGTCACCCCAAGCTCCCTCTGATTATTCATACCTCTTAGTCCAAGAGTTTCTGAGTTTTAGTCATCAGAACGGTGTCTGATTGAGGCCTGATCTCCCCCAATCAGTGCCCCATCAGTTTGCTTGCCAGTCTCCTTTGGAAACTGCTGGACAGACGCACCCAAAAATAATGCTTTACCATTTGTCAGATAACTTTTAATCCAATCCATTCAATGCCTAAAATTAATTATCACACCCACCCACATTGGGGAGGATGATCAAATATTAATCTCATCCAGAAGCATCTTTATAGAAACACCCAGAAATAATGTGTAATCTGACCTCCCCCTAGCTTAGTCAAGTTGGCACATAAAATTTACCTTCACGATTATGAAAACACAAGACGATAGGAAACAGGGAGGTAGACCTTTTGCAGATAGGAAGGGGATTCAGGGATGGAAGGAGAGGAAAGAGAAAGGAGGGAAAAGCAAAATAAAAAGGACTAAGATGCAATATGTATATGTACCACCTCCCCAGGATGAGTGTATTCATTGCATATTGCAAACATGTACTGATAATTAACAACAACAACAAAAAAACCTATGAAAGCACAGAGGTGCCATAGATCCCAGCTAAACTTCAGTGAACATAGTTTGAATGAGTTTGGGGGACTGTTAGTTATCACAGCAGTACCTAGCCTATCCTGACTGGTACAAAATTTAGTACCTAGAAAATCATAACAATCGCAACAAAAAGAAATACATGGTGTGGGTTCAGGGGCTGCCATCCATGGGTATGGGTGCTGCCTGGAAGGTTGATGACCCAGCCTTGCAATGGAAACCTGGTAAAACCTTGAATGTGATAATTCCTAGATAAAAAGAAGGCAGAAAATGTATCCAGTGGAAACTCTTTTCCCTTCTGACATGTTAGGTCATGTTAGAGAGAGTGAGTGTGCTGAGAGCATGTGTGCCAGAAGTGAGGTGGGTAGAACACAGACTGACATGAAATGTAGCCTTTTTTAAGATACTGAGATTTGGGGTCCCTTGAGGCTGTAGCAGTCAACCCACTCTAACAATAAAAGAAGAACTGTAACGGTCTACACAATATGTTGTTAAAGACTTGACTGTGTGCAGATGTATATCAAAAGGATATATATTCTAAAATGTCAGTAGCTGGCTACTTAAGATTGTGGGTAGTTTCTATTTCTTTACCCCCATGTTGGTATTTTCTGATTCTAACATAAATACATAATATTTGTGAAATGAAAGTTGTAAATTGGCTGGGCACGGCAGCGTACACCTGCAGTCCTGGCACTGGGGAGGCTGAGGCAGAGTGATCACAAGTTAGAGGCAGGCTTGAGTTACACAGCAAGTTCAAGGCCAGCCTCTATTACATAGTGAGAACTTGTCTCAAAAAAAAGTTCTCAAAACAAATAATGATCACCACAACAACAAAAGTTAGGAAGGGAACAAGGCTGAAAACTCAGGGATCAAGGAAACACTATCTAGGACCAAGGGCTCGAAGCCAGTGTGTTGAATCACCTGGAGGAAGCCAACAGCCACCTCACAGAGCAGGGGAGAATTCTCCAAGAATGCAGCTTTCCCTCCTGTCCTTGTTATTTTGCCAAGAGAAGAGTATGTGTTATTGCAACAAGATGTAGTTACTTAGTGTGAAATTTTCCAGACTCAACAACATCCAATGCAAACATTTTTGCATTGGAGCTGTCAGGCCCAGGGCTGCAGACAAGAGGATCTTCTTCCTGCAGTACCTTGCCCTGTAGCAGTAGGTAGATGTTAACGTTCAGTTGGATCGCCATTGGCAATGATTAAGGTCTTGTTAAGGCGCCTTGCAGCCCTCTTTGTGAAGTTCAAGTGCTTGAAAATGTGTCGCCACCCTAACGTGACTGAGGCACTTTTTGGAAGTATTTGAATGTTCTTGGGTATTTTAAGAGTGGTTATCAAAGCCATGTGTACACTAGTAAATAACAACTCACACCACCAATCTTTAGTATTGTACTTTAGGAAAACCTAAATAAAAGAAACAAAGATGAGAACTGTAGTTCTCCCTATAAAACATCGCTTTAAAAAATGATCCAGCCAAGCATGGTAGCACACACCTACAATCGCAGCGCTAGAGAAGGCTGAGGCAGGAAGATTGCAAACTTAAGCCCAGCCTGGGCAACTTAGGAATTTAGCCAGAAGACTTCATCTCAAAAATGCCTGGGAATGTATCTCATTGGGAAGGACTAGGTTCAGTCTCCAGTGCCCTCCTCCAAAAAATCCATCAGCCAGCCTTGTAATTCTAGCTTAAATCCTTCTCCTTTGTACTCTCATTTTCCTCCCTCACAGTAAAATGCAGAGTCTACACATGGTCAAGGTGGGCACCGTGACAACCTCCAAAATCCCATCCCACTCCAGTATTCTCTAATGTCAAGATTCAGGGAATATTGTATACCTCTTAAACTCCAAGTCCTGGTCCTTCTGTCTAGTTTGTGGTTAGGCAGCTGTCATGGTTACTTTTTTGTCTTAGCTAGGACAAAATACCCAACACCCAAAATTAGGGAAGGAAAGATTTATTTAGCTCACAGTTTGTGAAGGTTTCAGTCCCTAATCAGTTGGCTCCAAGGCAGGTTGGCATGGTGGAGGGGCAGCACTTCAAGGCCACAAAAGACAGCAAAGGCAACAAGAGCCAAAGTGGCAAAAGGGAAGAGCAAGCCTCTTTTCCTGCCCTTGTATTGTATGCAGGCCACCCACCCTAGCGCGGGTGTAGCACTCACACCTCCAGCCCCAGCACTGGACAATGAACCAATCACAAACTCTAGATTCAGCTACCTTCAAAAGGCCTGCCCCCCCATGACCAAATGAGGCTTTGAGGGGATATCCAAACCCAAACCCTAAAATTCCACCCCAGAATTTGGTACCGGGAGTGGGGCCATTGCTGTGACTATACTGACCATGTAGTTCAAGAGCCTTTGAGAATGGCTTGTGGAAAGAGTTTTGAAAGGTTCAGAGACGTTGCCTGAAAGAGCAGCACTGGAACACCTTAGGCTGTTCTGTACGGGAGATTCTGGTCAGAGGTCAGAAGACCAGAAACCTGATAGAAATCCTGCCAGTAAAGACCAGCCTTGGGAGATTTCTGCTGGAAAGAAAGACTGCTTTGGCTGCTGGACTCCAGACGATGTATGTTATGGCTTGGCAAAGAGTTTGTCTGCATTTTGCTTGTGTCCAGAGATTTTGCCTGAGACTGAGATTAAGGGCGGTGGACTAACTAATCTCATAGAAAAAATTTCAAGGCAGTCAAACGTTGTGGTGGCATGGCTATTGTTGGGGGCTTTTAACCAGACTGATGTTGTGAGTCAAGAGCACAGAGCTCAACAGGATGATTGAAAATGTGTGAGTCTGGCAGAAAGGAAGTTCCAGTTACAGCTGTGGACTGCAAAGACAGAGCTGAGGAGATCTCAACTACTGAGAAGGAATAGGAGAATATAAAAGATGGTCTGAGGGCATCACAAGGAACAGCAAGTCTCTACCCTTTGCTGCCTCAAAACTGCAAAGGTAAAAACTTGCTTTGAGGAGAAAGCTGCAGAGCACCATGTTCCAGAATGGTGGCATCATAAAAAATTTGTTCCTCAGAATTGGATTCAGAGTGCTCAGCAATCCAGGCACTCAACCCCTACAGAAAAGAGAGAAAAGCCTGGCTACTACTCTAGCTGGGAGCAAACCTCGGCATCATCCACATGGCACTGGTTTTAGGTGTATGCAGAATGCAAGAGTTAGGGGGTTAGAAAGGCTTCCATCCAGATTTCAAAAGAAGACCTGAGAAGCCAGGCAGTATGCTCCTGAGAGGGCAATGTGTGAAGCTGTGAAGGAAAAGCCAAAGGTACAGTGGAGACCCCAGAAGTTTAGAAAAGCAAGAAACATGGATCATCTGAGGAAACCTGCAAGGAGGGAGCAAAGCCAACCCAAGAGTGAAGCCATGGGAGCTATAACCACTGGAAGTGCCATAAGGGTGGAGCCACCCCAGCATTTTGGAGCTCATAACTTGCCACAGGTTGCATTAGATCCTGCATATGAAACTACAGGACTTAATATTTGCCCTATGGGATTTTAGATTTGTTTTGGTCACATTCCTTTGTATCCGCATTTGTACCTTTTTATCTTGTGCCATTGAATGTTGGAATCATTTAACTTTTCATTTGTACAGGGCCTCACAGCTAAGAGTTTGCCTTATATCTTGGAGGAGACTTGGGACTTGGAATTTTCAGCAGTGCTGAAACTGTTAGGACTCTGACAACTTTTAGAGATGGGCTAAAATGCCTTTTGCATAAAGGGATATGCATGGGTCTTTGGGGGACCAGGGGAGGAATGTTATGGTCTGTGTGTAGATGTCCCCTGCAAAGCCTCATGCAGTCCTAGGGCAAGCTTCTAGAGTTTATGATTGATTCATGGTCCAATGCTGGGATTATGGGTGTGAGTGCTACACCCACCCTGGGGCAGGTAGCCTGTATACAGTATAAGGGAGGGAAAGAGGTTTGCTGTCTCTCTCTCTCTCCTCCCCTTTTGCTCTTGTTGCTTTTGCTGTCTTCACCACCATAAACAGACCATAAGCCACTGCCCCACTGCCATGTGCCACCCTGCCTTGGAGCCAGCTGATTATGGACTGAAACCTCTACAAACTGTGAGATAAATAAGCTTTTTCTCCCTTAGCTTTAAGCATCAGGCATTTAGTCTCAACAATGAGAGAAAAGTAACTAAGACACAGGCTGTAATACACAATGGGGCCAATACAAGTTTTAATATGTAAAAAGTAGAAAGCACTGGTGTTGACCAATATACAAAACCAAATCCATTCACCAAAGAAATAGCCCTGTTCGAAGAACTAAATCTTTCTTCCTGCTAATATATTTCCTGTATAGTTTCCCTTGAAGTTTGTTATTCATTTTTTCTCACCATCAATAAATAAGAACTGTTTGTTACATATGTAGCAACTTAGTGTTCCCCTTTTAAGTTATCGTGGCTGTTCAGTAAGGGGCACATATTCTTCCCACCTGTTCTGATTGTCACTGGTATTATTAAAAAGGGAAGAAAAAAACCTTTCCACTTGGGTTTATTCAGAGAGTTAACATCTGATTTTACATGGAACTCTTTAAAAGAAAAAGAGCAACATGGCCCGAAGCACTTCTAGCATAGGGTGTGGAAGTATTTGATGTCCCGGTGCTTGTTCATAAAAGAATGTTGTTTTGAAATGTGCAGTGGAGTCAGGAAAAGAGATCCAAAGAAAGTTCCCATTGAGACAAAATCAAATCAACCCACTGCCCCCAAATACCTCCCCCTTAGATCACGGGGCCCTTTGGCTCTGCGCCCACCATATGGGTCCACAGCCTGTGATCCCAGGGCTGCTGCCTGCGGTGATGCGTGAACAGGACGTGCCCCAGCCAGGGGCACTAGCAGGCATCTGGAGAGACCTTTTTTTGGTTGATGGTGATTCCAGGTCTCAAAGGCTTGTAGAAATAACTGGAACTTCTGCTTCACCCCCAGAAGGATCCCTAATTGAATCTGCAGGAAAAAAAACTGACAATAGACAGATAAACAAGAGAAAGGAGGTGCATGGTTATTAACAGGTCCATTCACGTAAGTCACGTAAAGTATGAAATTCAAAAAAAGTCACATGATTTGAGCATGGTGGGGTCAGTCTCCCAGAGTTTCATGTGCTGGGGGCTTAGTGTGTAGCGTGACAAAGTGGGAGCTCACAAAACCCTTAAGAGGAGGGATTAGTGGGACAGCATTAGGTTTGGAGGGCGCTCGCTCCCCCTGCAGGAATCAGTATAGTTCTCAGGGGCCGTGGTTAGTGCCCCCAGAGTTACTATAAAAGCCCAAGCCTGGCTCCTCCCTTGTCTCTGTAGCTCCTTGTCTCCCTCCCCGGCTCCCTCTTTGCACACACTTCTGCCATGAGGTTGCCCAGCACAGCAGAGCCCACGCTGGCACTGTGCCCTCGAACCTCCAGAACTGTGAGCTAAATGAACCTCTTTTCTTTTCAAAGTACTCAGAATCAGGAGTTTTATTATACTTAGCAGAAAGCGAACTAATACAAAGGGCCAGATGTTTGAAATTTAAAAACCCTCTTCCAAAGGGAGCAAAAAGTAAGGGATGGAACCAATACAAGAGGAAGGGTAAATGAATTTTAGGAGCGATAAAGTGACCCAGAGAGCTGAAGATAGCCTGGAACAAAGGTCTCCGGGGCTCTGGCTGTGGTGAGTGGCTGTCGATCTCTTCACCATCCTCACTGATTAATGTCCATTCCAGGGAGAGGATCCGGGCATATCAACAGTCACATTCCTTCCAGAGAAACTTTCTTTAGTCAAATGAGGAAAACTTCAGAGAAAGCCCCTCCCTGCGCTTCAGGAAAGAAAGAGAGTTGAGCAGCAGGGCAGAAGGTCACAAAGACCCTGTATCTGCTTCTTTAGTCGAACACTCAGCAGGTCAGAGCACCACAGGTTGGGGTAGCATTTTCTGTGCCCTAATAACACTCTGCGAGAGTGCATGTTTCCTGGCACCTGCCTTTCCCCTACGCACCCAGAGGCTCCTGGATTACTCTTTACCACCATTAATGCAGGCCCAGGGCGAGACAAGCCATGCATAACACTTAGGGGTGAGCCTCAAAACTCAGCCACCAAGATAAATCATGTCTCCATGCCATCCTTCCCAAACAATCAAAATTAATGCAAAAAAATACAATGAATAAATAAGTGATCAAAATTTTAAGTAAAGACAGTATCTATAACATGGCATTGCTCAGCTACATCAGAACTTGAGGCAAAAGGAAAAAACAGTCAATAATGCTGATTCTGCCTTTATTTAAAATCTTGATATTTTTTTCATTGTGGGGTTTTAAAATTAATTTTTATATTACTTTTTAAAACCTTGCATTAACATATGATTTGTCTCTGGGGTAAGTCTTTGGCACACCCTGAAATGCTGTGCCCACGGGCAGCCCTGCACCCCGCAGGCAGTAATGGGATTTAAGTTAAGTTCCCTTCTCCGTTCACGTCAAAACTCACCTTCCAGAAAGGATGAGGAAAACAGGGTTTGTTAGAAACCTGTAGCAAACCTGTTGCCCAGACAGTTAGCATTACAGCCTTTTCCTTTATTGCTATTCATCTCCAGATCCTGCCTCTGCCTCAGGCACGGCACTGCCTGGAATTTCACCTCTGTCCCATGCACACTACTGTACTATGCGACTGACTCTTAAGGTCATGGGGGTGGGGGCTTGGGGAGGCAGAGAGTGATTAGTCAAATAATTCTTATGCTGGCAAGAAGCTGCTTTCAGACAGAAGTTTCTAGTCTTCATTTCTCCTAGAACTCACTAACCAGAGCCTGCCTCCAACCCTCCACAGGTCTAAGCACTTTAGATGATAGTAGGACCACTACCTCATTCCTCAAGGGCCCAGCAGATAACTCCAAACATATACTGTTCTTGCCAAGTTAACCCCTCCAAAGAGATCTTTCCAAATACAGGAATGGTGCCATGAGGCCACCTGGCTGCCACTGCAGTGTCCGATACACCAGCTCTCCTTTGCGTCTTGGGCACTTACAGGACTGAATCACCTGTCGACAGGTCTTGCAGTCATCTATGTCATTTTCCTCTATCCTCAGCCCCCAGAGCTGGGCCGAGCACTGAGCGAATGCTGGGCGAAGACACTTAAAGCCATCCCACCCACGACTGCTGGGGGAGGGTTGGGGCTGACCCAGGATGTTAAGGGAACAGAAGGGAATGGGCACACTGAGATGTGGCGCATTCTGAGTTCTTTGGTTCAGAGCCCCAGGGGGCTTCCCGAAGAATCCAGCTCTGCCGTCTTCTCCCTGAATATAGATGCTCCACCCTCACTGAGACTCCTCCCCAGAACATGCATAACTCCCCAGTTCCAGCTTCTGAGTTTGCCAAGGTGGAGAGAGAAGAGCATGGGGTGGAGTCCTTGTTCCCTTGCTTCTTAACCCTTTGTGTGTGTGTGACAGTCTCTCCAGGCCTCTATGAAACCAAACCCTAAATATGGCTTCCTGAAGGGTTCAGTGAGATGCTAAACATCGAGCAGAGTGCCTGGCACACAACGCACATCCAGCAGACACCAGCCATTCTTATTCCCTCTCAGCCTGTAGGGAGCTCACGCTGCAGGGAAGAAAAGACAGAGCCGCTGCTCACCGTGGTGTGCCAGAGACACTGCCCTGAGGATGCTCTCCCCTCACTCTCATTGCCCTGGGTATTTTCATTCCTGGTAGCATTATAGGAAGTAGAAGATTTTGGGGGAATAAAAGATTCTTTGCTCCAAAGGAGAACCCCCAAGTGCAAGTGATCTTTAAGCCCTGAGCGGTGAGGGTCAAGTGTGCAAAAACATCCCTGGCAATGGATCCCCAGCTTCAGAGGCAAGGCTGGGCAGAGGCAAAGCTTGGGCGCTCCCTCCTAAGGCTGGCGAGGGGGGAGTGGGTCGAAGTGCCAGTCATGGGAAGAGACGGGAAGACTGCCTTCTCATGGGTTTGCATAAACTTCAGCTTTGGAGCATTTATTTGTTTCCAGAGAAGAAGGCTTTGTGGGTGTAGTGGGTTGCAGATGCCTTTCAAAGCATGTTTTGCATCCCACATGGCAGGGCCCCCCCACCGCACCAGGGAGACCGAGGTTCACACAGAATACTTCCCAGCAGGAGGGAAGGAGAAGCACTCCGTCTGTCCTCCAGGTCAGCAGGAATTCTTTCCTGCAATGGCCCATGATGAGTTGAAGCCCCAGAGACCAGCTCTGGCTGTGAGACCCACCCTGCATTCCATCCCCAGCCCACCTTCCTGTCCCCCATCCTTTACTGGCTTGAAAGATCTTACCCAAGTCCAGAGCCTCCACATGCGCCCCAAAGGAACTGCTGGGCCTTGGCCAGCAGCAGTATCACCTCCCTGACAGCAAACAAGACTCCGAGATACAGGCTGACACAAGTTTCACAGAGCTCTTCCAAGCCAGCTGGCCTGACCTGCTTCACAACCCAAGGCCAGGAAACTCGAGCTGGTCTGCCAAGTCCCCAGACTGAGAGGATGGAAGACTTGCTGACATGTGCCTGTGTCCTTCATTGCTCTGTCCCCGCCCCCACCCAACAGGCAGAGTCCATGCAACCCTCAAAAAGCGCCGGGACACCAGCTCCAGCCTGGGCAGGCGCCTGTATTGCCACATCCCCACAAGTGGCAGGGAATTCACTGGCAGGTCCTGGGTCCAATGCCAGGAGGTGTACAAGAGGCCACCATCCTACAACCTGCTTCTCATCAAAGAGGAAAGCGAGCTCTACTCTACCAACCCAAGGCCAAGTTCATTTCTTAGTGAGCACCACTCTGGAGTCCTCAGAGGCACATTTGGTTTTGTTCTCCTCTTCTTCCAGAAGGGGGAGCCGTCAGAACTTCCGTAACCCAAATATATCTGGACAACTTTGAGCCCCACTCTTCCATCACGTCACCACCAGTGTCCAGTGTGGCAACCAAGAGCAACGGAGAAGAAAACAGGACATGAGCAGGAGGCTCTCAGAAAACACTGAAAGCGATCCCAGTAAGAATGGCTGTCATTAAGAAATCAGCCAATAATGAATGTCGGTGTGGCTGTGGAGAAATAGGAACTCTTCTCCACTGCTGGTGGGAACGCAGACTGGTGAGACCACTGTGGAAATCAGTTTGGAGATTCCTCAGCAAACTAGGTCGAGGTCCCATTCAACCCAGCCATTCCCCTTCTGGGTATTTTCCCAGAAGATCTGAAAACATTATATCACAGCGATATATGTGCACCCATGTTCATAGCAGCGCAATTTGTAATTGCTAAGTTGTGGAAGCAACGCAAATGTCCATCCACCGAGGACTGGATAAGAAAATTGTGCTACTTTTGTGGGATGGAATATTACTCAGCTATAAAGAAAGATAAACTTCAGGCTTTTATAGGTAAGTGGTCACAACTAGAGACCCTGCTCATAAGTGAAATAAATCAGACCTCCATGTGTAAGCATCGTATTGCCTCACTAGTGTAAGACCTGAAAGAGTGAATAAAAACTAGGAGGTATGACAGGTATTGTGAACCGAAGGGAAAATGCTCAAAAGTAAAGGGCAACTGGGGTGTGGGAAAAGAGAAGGGAAAGAAGGGGAAATTATGTATGTATGTATATACAGGATAGCTAACATAGTTGTACTACTGTCTTCTATTGCTCTACAGAAAGGAACGGTCAATGATTACTTGTTTGATCAATCTTACATGTCTCTATTTGTTTTCCTGAGAAACCACTTTGAAGATGTCAATAAGTAATACAACAACCATGGTTAATTTCCTACAACTTTGTCTGTAACTCTGTTTTGTTTGTATCATTCTTATTGCTGTTTTGTAAATGAATGTCTGTTTGTTAATATGTTTTCCTTCTTTTATTTTTAAAATTAAAAAAAATTTAAAAAAAGAAAGAAAGAAAACACCCAAAGCGATTCTGGGCCTGTCCACAGCACAGTCTGTGAACAGTGGTTCTTCTGTCTCTCCCCCCAAGTCTTTTCCCTCAGCCCCATGTTCCAAAATAGCTCTACATCTCTCTACCCTCAAAACTTCCCACCCCTCCTGACCAGAGATCAGCAAGTGCTTCCTCAGATCTGGTCTTTCCTTCCACCAGGAGCAGCTGGCTCCTGCAGGCCTCTTCTGCGGCTGGTGCTAATCACACACCACATGTTCCTGTCCCTGACTCCGTGACCCCCTCTTGTGTGAATGACCCCATCTGACTTTTCCTTCCATCACCCCTTACCTTGTCCTGTGCAAGCATGCATTTTGTAAGCATGCAAACACCTCCATCCTGGGGGTTTACTGCAGGTCAAACATTTACTCAGCCTTTAAAACTCTGTGTCAAAGGAATTTATATTTGTGTTTGCAAGGAAAACAGCCTATGCAGCAGACAGCATTTAATGGCTTTTTGCCACTAACTCAAGTAGGCAAAAAAGAACCCCACAGCCAACTATAAGTACCCCTGTGGTCTTTCTTCCTCCTTCAAAGGAAACAAAAGAAGCACCCAGACCCTCCACTCCCAGGAACCTCACACCTTGAGGTTGCCTTTTTTTTTTTTTTTTTGTACTGGGGATTGAGCCCAGGACCCTTGAACTGAGCTGTATTCCAAACTCCCACCCCATCACCTCTTGATACACGTTCTTGCTAAATAGATAAGTTGCCTAAGCTGGGCTCAAACGTGCAATCCTCCTGCCTCAGCCTCCCAGAGTGGTGTGATTTCAGGCATGTACTACCACGCTCAGCTTCCAGCCTAGCTTTACAGTTTTGTGATCCAGGCCTCAGTGAGGAGGAGGAGGAGGGACACCCAGGATTCACAGTTTCCATGGTGTGGCTCCTCAGTCAAGTCCTGCATTCCTGCAAGTGGTGACGGGTGCCAAGGTCAGTGCAGGACAAGCTGGGAAGCGTGCTGGAGCCGGCTGCCTGGAAGGACTTTCCATTTTGTAGTGATCCCCTGCGGGTCGGCCAGGCTCAAGGAACCAGGAGTGCAGATGAGTCTTTCCATGTGTCTCACAGGGAAACTGGAAATGACCATCTAATGCAGTCCAGAATCCCTCCAGAATGTCTTTACTGTTTCAAAAAAGAAAAGAAAAACCACGTAAGCTCAGTCGGTTATTAGGGGGCTTCTACCTGAAGGCACAAGGCAGGAGAGTAGTGCATGCTGGAGCTGAGTCACAGAGAGCCAGTGGCGGCAGGCAGAAGCCAGCATCGGGGCCAGTGAATGAAGGCAGTCTGACTATGGGCGTGGCACAAGGCCTAAGACGTCCGTTGTTTGATGAGAGATAATTCAAAGTAATTTTGTGAACGCTTACTGAGGCTCTTGGAACACAATGTACAAGAAGGATTGGGGGAGAAAATGAACCCCAATTTCCCTTCCACGCACTGTGAGGTAGCCGAGCACATTCCCCACTCCACAACATCGTCCCTAAGTATTAGAAATCTCACTGTTAGAGATTCTATCCTTTGGATTAATCCTTGTAAACAGTCAAGGGTAGAAAACACATTTCTTTCAAACCTCCCAAAGACTAAGAGTTACATTTCATTTCCAGCCCATTCTGGTGTTCTCCAGGAAAGTATGAAGTGTTTAGTTTCAGAATGAGTCAGGTAATTCTTTTCATTTCTGAAAACAGAAGTGATAGATGCTTACCCAGTATGTGTGGGTTTTCGCATGTGTGTGTCTTGGAGGGGAGGTGGATCTGGATGGAACAAGACCGGCTGGATGCCAGCTGCCGAAGCTGAATGATGGGTCCATGAGAATTTGTTTCATGCTCTTTGCATTCATATATGTTTGGAAATTTCCACAAAAGAAAAGAGAATCCTTGGTTACTTCCCAGTTCTTTCTACCCTGGTCAGTGAGAGGAATGAAAGTCAGCCCAAAGTCCACAGCTTTTCATCCCGGACAAGATCAGGTTTCCCCAGAGCTCTGTGATAGAAACAGGAAACCAATGCCCATTCGGTCCGTGTTGAGGACTGGAAAACACCATTCACTGTCACTGTAGAGATCTAAGTGCGAGCCAGTCCTTACCATAACCTCCAGGACACACAGCTCCATTGGCAGCTTTGGCTACTATTAGCTTGATATCTGTTGCAACAAATTTTTAATTGAAGAGGAAGAGCAAATTCCAAGCCCGGGTTCCAACCACCCATTGCTTGAAAGAGGAGCAGCAGAGTTCAAACAAACCTGAGCCACACACAGCACTCCCCCACCTCATACTGGTGGAAGCAAGCAGCGGGGTGCTGTTTCCCGTGGAATGTAGCACATGGGCACAGAGTCCCCCCAAATGCCAGGCTGTGTCCGACAAAAGCCAGAGCCAACAGTCAGGGAAGCAATGAGTCCTCAAGTTTTTCGGTCCACAACTACCCCAGAGGTTCTCTCATCCTCATAGCTGGCGTGTGGACCTGGAATGTTTCCCCAAACACCCATGTGCACAAGGCTTGGGCACCAGTGCTCCGTGCTATCAGGGGATGATGAAGTCATTAAGAGGTGGGGCCTAGTGGAAGGAAGTGAGGTCCTCGAGGACCCTGGTCCTTCTTCCTGCCTATCATAAGGTGAGCAGCTTGGCTCTACCATATGCTCGCTATCACAACATTCCACCTCCCCACAGCACCAAAGCAACAGAGGCAGTGACCACGCACTGAAACCACGAAACCGTGAGCCAGAGTAGACCTTTCCTCCTTGTAAGTTAATTCTCTCGGGTATTTTGTCCAGTGAAAATCTGACTAACATGTTCCCTCCAGATCACACTAAGGCTACCAGGACCTGTACCCAGTTTTCCCCAAAGGAGCCAACCTCTTTCTTTCTTCAACTTTCTTAATAAGCCATCCTTCCACGAAGTTCTCCACAGCTGGCTGCACACTTTGTGGGACACACGGAACCTGAGGGGGCATGTCTCTGGAAACACTTGAATCAAATACCCGTCCTTGATGGCCCTGGACAGCTATTTATTAGCCTCCCATGGGTGCTCTAATAAATTATTCCAAACTAAGCCCAAATTTGTTATCTCACAGTTCTGGAGGTAGGAATTCTTGGTGGGCTTAACTGGTTCCTCTGGTCAGGCTCTCCAGGGCCAAAAGCAAAGTGTTAGCCAGCCTGGTTCTTACCTGGAGACCCTGGGCAGAATCCCCACCCAAGCTCATTCAGGCAGGTGGCAGAATTTAGTGTCGTCTGGTTAGAAAAAACTCCTGGTTCCCTGCTGGCTGTCATGGGGATACTTGGCAGCCTAAGGCCATGTGAATGTCTGGTCACATCACCAGGCAGATGGAATGTGGCTCAGTAAGCCACTTTGGTGGGAGACATGGGTGTATGCGAGCCCCTGACCTTCAGCAGCTGATGGGTGTGGAGAGACACAGACGGACAACGCACCCACAAAATCAGATGGGAAAACCAGGCACTTTTCCTCTTGATAAATCAACCAAATCCACAGCCCAAGCACCGCCCCCTTTCTTTCTGGCTGTGCTGAAGACTTCAGGACCTGCCTGTGATGAAATCAGCTGTGAGAGTCGCCCCCCATTGTCAGACACGGGTTCCTGTTCCGTCCCTCCTGCGTCTTTCCAAGAGCCTCCTCTTGGGGTTGAATTAGTTGGGGTTCTCTCAGTCATAACACAGAACAGGCGAGGAGCAGTGCGCTGGGCTAGGCTCAGGACATTTGGGCAGGGACAGGAGAGGGGGAACCCGCATCCTGGAAGTCAGCCCAAGGTTGGATGGCCCAGAGCAAGGGCAGGGAAGAAGCCACGAGGCACTGTATGAAGAGTGATGTGTAAACGTCTCCGGCCAGGCGGACGGCAAGGTGAGA